TTGGAGTTCCTCTCGTTGATAAAGTCCACATCCGCATCGTCGTTGTAGATCCTCCTGCGCGAGTACTTTTTGCGGCGCTCGATCTGCTGATCCAGATCCTGGACCATTTTGTTGATGGCACCCGGAGTGTCCTTCGTCCTTGAGTGCAAAGTGGTGTGTGCACCGCCGTAGAAGGCGTCGCCGAGCTCTTCTTTTTGCCGCTCGTATTTCTCCATGTCGCGGGGGGGCATGCTCTTGACCAATCTGTTGTATTGCCTGGCTGTCTGCGCCTCGTAGGTGGAGAAGCCCAGATCGGGGTTGTCTTTGCGCCTCTGCTTTTTCTCAATGCGATCCGCGTCCACGGCGGAAACCTCCAGCAGCTTGAGCCGCTCGTAATCCTTGCCAGCCGCCTGCGCCTCGGAGCGCGCTTTGTCGTCCGCCAGAATCCATTCCGCCTGGCGCTTGCGGGCCTCCCAGTTCTTGGGCAGTTTCTTCCGAGCGTCCTCCGCCACCACTTCCTGGTGGTTGTCCGTGCGGGCCTCCTGTCGCTTCTTGTGCAGCTCCAGTAGTCGCGCCTTGCGCTCCGCCAGCTTCTCCGCAGCCGTTTTGGTCGTCTCCATTGTTTTTTTGTTTGGGAAACAAATTTATCTTTTGGAAATTGTGAATTTACGTTGTTTATCTTCCTTTGTGTTGTCGATCTGATTTTATGGTATTTAACCGCGTTGGCAGTCCCACTGAAATCAGCTGTTTTGCACAAGTGGCAACTCTGTTACAGTAAATAGCGGCTACTTGAATTTAGAGACGAAATATGTAATGGTAAATATTTTCTAGAAATTTATTATATTGCAAAGAAATTACGTATATTTTAGGTTTTATATATTTTTTATAAGGTTTCTAGTAAAATATTAAGATTTATGGAAAACAGAATAAAGTTACACAGTTTTAGTAAGTCAAACAAAATATTTATCATTGTTAAATGTTTAGTTTATTAATTACATGTTTTCTTATCATTTATTAAGTTCTACTCATTTAAACTAGGTTTAATTAACCCATTAAGCAGGCATTTAATGTAGTTTAAACAAGTTGTATCATTTTTTTTAGTTGTTGGCCCTTCTTGTGTTCGTCACTAGTCTGCCTTCCCATCTGTTGCGCTTATCTGGTATATACTGTTCTGTGGTATTTCAAAACGCGCTAGTACATTTGACATTTCATGTGCTGTTTACCTCAACACGTGCAGGAGTTTTTGTTTATATTTTTGCTCGTGGTTTTTGCTTAAAACCAGCCATAAAATGAAGTTCTCCTACAAAGTAAGTGTATGCCACGAACTAGCCTTACAAATATCTAATACATTTTATCACAGTTTTCCAATCTGCTGGGCACAATATATCGCAATGGCAACTTGGTCTTCACACCGGATGGAAATTCGGTTATCAGTCCGGTTGGCAATAGAATAACGGTCTACGATTTGAAAAAGTGAGTTACTGTCCGGTTAACCAAGGATATCATAAATACATTCCATTCCCTTTTAGCAACAAATCACGCACCTTGTCCCTGCAATCTCGTTACAACTACACAAACCTGGCTCTTTCGCCAGATGGCAGCTTGCTGATCGCAGTCAACGAAAAGGGAGAGGCGCAGCTCATCAGCATGATGTCTTGTACAGTGATACATCGGCACAAGTTCCAGAGAGGCGCCCAGTGCATCTGCTTCAGTCCGAATGGCGCCTACTTCGCCGTCGCTGTCCAGAATCTGGTGCTGGTATTCTGTGCCCCGGGTGAAATCACCGGCGAGTACAATCCCTTCGTCCTGCGGCGCAGAATCCTCGGCGGCTACGACGATATCACATGGCTAGACTGGTCCTCGGACTCCCGCTTTCTGGCTATCGGCTGTCGGGATAGCTCCACCAAAATCTGTGCCATGAACTTTACCAAGAACTTCCGTACCTTCAACCTAAGTGGACACACGGATGCCATTGTGGCCTGTTTCTTTGAGGCGAATAGTTTGCACATGAACACCATAAGTCGCAATGGACAGCTGTGTTTGTGGGAATGCAGCATGGCTCCCTCGGATTTGGAAGATGCAGAGAGGCCGACGAATGCTCCTCCTCAAAGGAAGAGGGAGAAAAAGGCCGATCCCGACAATGAGTCCGAGGACGACGTTGAAAATGTGGTTGAAAAGGAGGCTTTGAAGGAGGACTCCGCCAAAGGAGTCGAAGACGTTAACGACATAAAAGATGAGGAAAAGAAAAAGGGCCATCCATTCTTCTACAAGAAAATTACACGCCATTATTTGGCCGATGAGCCGCGCAAGGAGCAGCGGGATGTCCAACTAACCGCAGCTAACTACAACACACGCACCAAGGTCCTGGTGGTTGCTTTCAGCTCCGGAGCCTTCTACCTGTACGAGCTGCCCGACGTGAACATGATTCACTCGCTGAGCATCTCCGAGTATCCCATTTCGGCTGCCCTGTTTAACTGCACGGGTGACTGGGTGGCTTTGGCCTCCCGGGAGATTGGACAACTTCTGGTTTGGGAGTGGCAAAGCGAGCAGTACATCATGAAGCAGCAAGGACACAGCAGCGAGATGACTTGCATTGCCTACTCCTCGGATGGCCAGTTCATAGCCACTGGCGGCGAAGACTCCAAGGTTAAGCTGTGGAACACGCAGAGCAGCTTCTGTTTTGTCACCTTCAGCGAGCACACCAGTGGAGTAACTGGCATACAGTTCAGCAGGAACAAGAAGTTCCTGGTCAGCAGCTCTCTGGACGGCACAGTGCGTGCTTTTGATGTGAACAGGTAGATATTTCTTAGGGTCTAAAAAGCCAGACAACTAATATGCCTCTTTCATTTCAGATATCGTAACTTCAGAACTTTCACCTCGCCGAATCCTGTTCAGTTTTCGTGCGTGGCTGTGGATTACTCTGGTGAGTTTGTTGTGGCTGGCGGCCAGGACGTATTCGACATATTCCTCTGGTCGGTGAAGACGGGCAAGCTGCTGGAGATCATCAGTGGGCACGAGGGACCCGTGGTTTCGCTGGCCTTTTCCCCAGTGGCCACGTCTTCCACTTTGGTGTCTGGTTCTTGGGACAAAACGGTCAAGATTTGGAACTGCCTGGAGAGCAACAGCGAGCACGAAACCATTGATGCTGTTTCGGATGTAACTAATGTGACTTTCAGTCCCAGTGGTGAAGAGGTAAGTGTGTTATTGTCAAGACTTACTGTACTCTAGTTAATATGCCATCCGTAACTTTTCAGATTGCTGTGGCCACTTTGAGTGGTAACATAACCATATTTGACATCAAATCTGCCGGCCAAGTTACCACCATAGAAGGTCGTAATGATCTGAGCGGGGGACGCCTGGAAACTGATATAATCACAGCGAAAAAGAATGCCCAGGCCAAGTGAGTTGTTTTGGACTTAAAACTAAATATGTTTTATATAACATGTGCTTTCTCTGTTAGTTATTTCTCCACCATTGAGTACTCGGCGGATGGAGAGTGCATTTTGGCCGCTGGAAAGTCGGCCAATATCTGTATATACCATGTCAGGGAGGCTATACTTCTGAAGAAATTCGAAATCACACAAAACCACAGCTTAGATGGTCTTAATGTAAGTACTTACAAAAATGCAAGGCATATATATTTATTTAAGCTTTAAATTCAATTGATAGGACTTTATCAATCGTAAGCACATGAGTGAGTTTGGTAACATGGCTTTGGTGGAGGACCGGGAAGAGCTAGAGGGCGGCAAGGTAGCCATTCGACTGCCAGGAGTACGCAGCGGAGATATGTCATCCAGGCGCTTCCAGCAGGAAGTTAGAGTGTTCTCTGTGAAGTTCTCACCCACGGGTCAGGCATTTGCAGCCGCAGGAACTGAAGGACTCTGCATTTATGCCTTGGATAAGGGTATGCTATATCAGTTTTTGTTTTATAATGATGATATTACATTTGTTATTTGTCTGTCTAGGTGTTGTCTTCGATCCCTTCGACCTGTCGCTGGAAGTGACGCCGAAAGCGGTCCACGAGTCCCTCAAAAAGCAGAACTACACCAAGGCGCTGGTCATGTCCCTGAAGCTTAACGAGCCCAATTTGATTGCCCTAGTGTTGGAGCGAGTGCCGTATAAGGACAGTGAGTAAAATGCTAAATCGCCTGCTGCACTCGGGGGCCAGTCCTTGTCAGTTTGGGCAACCTTCAGCCCAGCCGCGACTAAAAATAGCGGCGACACACTCCGCCGGAGAGGCGGTCGCCTGTTTGCCCTGACTCCGTTCTCCGTGCTCCGATCGAATGTGCAAATTTGCACTTTTGCTGTGTTAATAAACAGTTTCAAGGTCCTCGCCCCAGCGCTCACCTTGGTTAATAACCCCTTCCAATACCACCTGCATACGTACTATACACTACATGCAAATGGCTGGCCATAAACAGCTCTGCCAGCACGTGCCTGCATTGCATGCATACTGAATCCCTTCTCCCTTTCCTCCTTTCTAGTCGAACTCGTTTGTGCGGATCTGTCGCCGGAGTTTGCCCAGCGACTGCTGCAACAATTGGCCCGCCATCTGCAGTCCACGCCCCACATCGAGTTTTATTTGCAATGGAGCTGCTGTCTGTTGACCAAGCACGGAAACCAGGATGGAGTCTTTCAGCACACGGGACTGCTGGCCCTGCACGAAGTGCTCTCGAGGAAGTACGAAATGCTCAATAAGATGTGAGTATAACTTATTGGTTGGGTGATCCAGTTTGACTAAATCCTCTTTATTTTTTCAGCTGCGACTATAACAAGTATACATTAAGAGTCCTCTTGGACCGGGCGGATAAATTGGAGCAGGAGAATGAGGGCAAAACGAAAACCGTGGAGGAAGATAGCGATGAGGAGATGCTACTGATCAGGTCAAAGGACGAGGAGAATGGCCAGTCGCAATTTAGCGATGAGGAGGAGAGTGACAGTGGTTCCGAGGAAGATATATAGGCTGAATATATATCCCCAACGTTTAGCCTGTTAATGCTGTTATAAAAACCAACTATTAGTTTGTTTGATAGATGTACGCGCCTTGTCTTTTATTAAGAATAAATTTAAAGCTTTCGATAACATTATTAGAGGGTTCACTGACCTACGAATAGCTGAGTGAACAACATAACTTAAAAGATGGAAAGAATATAGATATTTATATAAACTTAACTTGGTACAGCCATTACCATCCTAGATAAATATATGCATGTAATATATATATAGTAGTGATGTAATTTATTTACATTGTGTCCGTATTTTCATATCAAATATAAACTCGATTTAGCTTAACAAATATATATATGTTTATATTTTCAAAAATTCTGCCTGATGTGCGCTGTTTGAACTACAGGTCAATTTTAGTATTAGATGTAAAAGCCACAGCTCTAATGTTTGCATTAAAATGCGCTATAATGGATAAATAATTCTAAATATGTATGTAAAAATCTCTAAAAGCATTCACTGTTCGGTTCAATATTTACAATCCAAATATCCTTAGAGGCCATTGTATTATTATTATCATCGTAAAGCACCAATTCCATGTCTTGGCTGATTTGCTTAAGCCTAATACAAAAGTTCAATTAAAATCGTTTGCCCGAAAATGATTAATGCGTGTAGCTCGCAGTTATAGAGAGTGTGTTTACTTTCAAAGTAGGGACCACCCTTTTCGATTGTGGGTATTGTCACTAGCACAGTGATATACATTTCATTAGTATCATCCGGTGTATATAAGGCAGAACTAAATTAAAATTGGTTTATATCGATGTGGGTCATGATTAATGCCTAGAGTAGCTGAAGCTTTTGACCCTGTGGGGGAGTGCGCGGTGTTCGAAATAGATACATAGTTCTTCGTTCGTGGCATAGATTTCAAAATAATATAGGGGGAGCTATCGGCATTGTTCCATACAAGATCGGATTTGTACAAAGCAAATACTCAAATGAACAATACATTCTCCGTGAGCAAATAGTCCATAACTAAGCTATATACTCAGTACATTCGATGTACCCGATCTAGGTTTTTGGTATAACCCATGCACGCACTTATGTAGGTAACAGTAGACTTTCTTGTACTTCGATGACAGGGAGCGAGTTGTGAGGCCCCGCTCTCTTTGCAGATATTAAGATCCAAAGACTTGGCGTCTCTGGCATTGCACTTGGGCTCTAAATCCAGTCCAGCTATAGTTCCATCAACAGATTGGGTTTCGTTTCACTTTTTAACGGAGTCCAGACATGTGCAGTCTGGAACTCCCCAAATCCTAGGACGACTTCATCAGCAGAATCGGCCAGTACAGGAGTACAAACACAAAGAACAGGATGGGGAATACGGCGCGAGATACCTTGTCAATCTCCCGCCACATGATCTTCTCCACGCCGGTATCCGTATCCGTCCAGGCCACGGAAAGGAGGCTCTGCCTTCTGGCTGGCTTTGGCGGTCCACCATTTCCCTGCAGCGAGGTCTATGGAATAGTGGAATCAAAATGTTTATATATTTCCCAATTGTTTTGAATATTTCTTAGAGCTGTACATGCCATTGACATGACAGCTGCACTAGTTCCCCCCGCATATCAGTGGCTAATAGCTCACCTGGCCCGGTGTCGTGGGCGTCTGGGTGGCCTTCCGCGACCTCACCGCTCCTCCTTCCCAACTGGCCACCGTCGCACACTGACCCTTCTCCATGTTGCTGATGCGCTACGCGAATGGAATCGAAATTGGAATCGGAACGACAAGAAGGTGGCATTACTTATTAAAGCGATATCCCCACAGCTGCCTTACCATGGGCAGTACCTTTGGAATGCGGTTCACCTGGTACTGGTACTGCACGTCCAGCACTTTCACCACCACGAACTCGGCCAGGGCGGCGAACACGGACAGCATGCAGCCGGCCATCCAGAGGTCCAGGGCCTGAAATGAGAGATAGAAAAGCCGAATATATATATATATTTACGTATTTAAAATAAACCATTATATCTGATCTTGTAAAGTCAATTACACCTTTGTTAGAATAATAATTGCATTTTGATTTTATTGTTTAAATTTTTAAAAGTTTTGGAATATAGAATTATTTCTTGAGTCAAGAAAATAGTTAGTGATCAAAATAGACCGTTTTCTCGACCTCATGTTAAACTAACGGTTGGTTTTAAACTAATTTTTGGTTTAAAACCATCTTTTATCATGAGGATAAGGAAATCTAATTCCCTTCATACTAAATTATCAAATTGTTTAAAAATAATTTTTAAAATTTATATTTTTTATATCTTCCAATTGTATTAAAATTAGAACTTAAAAACTGGGTTAGACAACTGTTTTTAACCAAAAGTCCATAAAAATCAAAAGAAATATTAGTAATTTAAACAGTATCTTTCACCCACCTTGACGTAGGCCACTGGCGGGATGTCGGCGCCCGTGAACATGGTCACCAGGGTCAGCATGCAGGTCACCAGTAGTGTGACCCGGCCCGGTATGGCGTCCAATCCCAGCCAGAAGCTGAACCAGGAGAGCATCACCACCAGCGAGGAGGGGGCAAAGGTCTGGATGAGGTGGTGGCCAATCTGGCGCTCGAAGCGGAAGTACACGGTGAGCCGGGAGAAGTTCCCGACCTTCTCCGGCATATAGCCATCGCTCTCCTCCAGCTCCAAGGGCTGGCCCAGATTGTACTGCAGCAGCTTGAGTTCCGGATTGAGGGTTACGCCGGAGTCCGACCAGCGCAGCTTAACCTTCTGGTTGTTCGATGAGACTTCGGGATTGGATGATTACGGATAAGACAAGTCTTCGTTACGGAAGCGCAATAACTTACAGCTCTCGATGTAGATGGGACACACCTGGATGTCCATGGGGTACAGCTGGAACTCCATCTGGCAGGCGATGATCGCGTGCATCCGGGCCGCATAGCGCACCGTCTTGTTCTTGTAGAGCGTCACCGACGTGAACTTGTGGGTCAGTGTCGCTATTTCTACAACGAAAAGACATCGAGAAGACGTTGCAGAGATGCGGAACAAATGGGTTTTGATTAGAACTATGGCATTGGCATCGATAGACTCATTTCTTTGCGCATTTCGGTGGTGGTACAGTGGTTCTGTGGTTAGGTGGATCAGTTGGTGGTGCCGTGATGGTGATCGTGATCACCTTAGGTCTAGGTTTAAGCGCGACTTTCTACTGACGACGAATGGGTTGTGATTAAAATGGGTACTGTAGTAAATTATACTTAATTAAGGGGATTAAGATTTATATTTTTTACAAAAAATCCTTTTAATAAACAAAGCAGTACAGAACATAATGGGATATATTGAAAAAGGATTGGTGAACTTGAGGTCATATACTTTAATGGTTTAAAGAATCAGAACATAACACAATGACTATTGGAAAATAGGAATTTTAAATAAAGTATTGGTACACAGAAAAATAGTATAACAAACTCTAGGTATTTCAATAAATTTAGAGGAACTAACTACGCAAAAAATTAAGAGGTTCGTTTCTAGAACTATTTATTCAAGTACAATGTTAATCATCACATCTGTAAAACAAATCGTGACAACGAAAAATAAAAACAGTTTTAATATTCTGAGTTGTGGTGTTAAACAAATCGTGACAACGAATATAAATAAAGCTTGACCGATTTGAAATCGATTTTTGTTTCGTAAATGTTGACAATGGCAACCGAAAATGGAAAAAAACCAAATTGCCAACTGGGTGCACACGTGATTCCAAGGTGAGATCTTATCAGGACTCCGAGTGCAACTGCAAATTTTCATTTTCATTTTCGGAGCGTGGGCGATGGTCAGGGGAGGAGGTGACTCTACAGTGGATTGGAGTGTCCTGTTTGACCATGGCATTGGAACCGGATTGGATTTCGTGCGTATAATGAGGGCCTCGAGTGGGCGGGTCCGGTATTGGGTGGGGAAATTATAAAAAAAACACTTAAATGTACACAGGGTCTTTCGCTAGGGATGGAATGTATGGGTTATATATACACACAAAGAACTATATGGCACGAGAGGATTCATTCAAATCGGCCGAGGACGTAGTCCATATAGATAGATTTCGAAATATGTTGAATATACAGGATACATTGGATGGAAGATATGCGCTGATACTGATACTGATATCGATTTCGATGGATTTTGGCAAAACACAAAAGTGGCAAACACAGAATTCTAGAGTCATTTTTGATATACTTATATCTTTTTTCAGATGAAAGTTTTTCGAATCTCTTTCACCCTTATTGCGTAGCATAGAAGTGGACGCAACATATGGACTTCCGTATCCTATGCAGAAGTATCGGTATTGTTAGTTCGGGAATTGTTAGTCGGTAGAGGTAACCGGTGGATTAGGAAAAAAACAAATAAACAAAGGAAAACAAAGTAATTCGTTACTATATACAAACGGTCCAGACTTAGAGAGTTTTTTTTTTATGTTTTATTTTAGACACATAGGGTGATGAGCTCAGCTGGACAAAGTGCAACAATCCCGGTCCAAGATACATACGTAAAATACACATCGACACACAGACTACTCGAACATGAAGCTTATACTACACAGATATATCTAGATGCTAGATGAACGTACCGGCAATCTTGGAATTGAGAAAGTACGGATCCGGCTGCCAAAAATTCTCAAAGACCTCTGGAAGCAGCGTCACATAGTCGTCGCCCTCCTCGAAGATGTCATCTGGGATCTCCAGACGCGACTCCAGCCAGCGCTGATGTATAAACATGTCTACTCTGAAAATGTACACAGTATTGCTATATGCTCCATTACGATCTCCCGGTTGAGGTCTCTCCAGCTCCAGTTCGCCGCCACTTACCTAAAGTCCATATCCTCTACGTTAATTGAGTTAATATCTACAACGAATATGCTAAAGTCTACTATCACTGGGGAGCCCTTCTTCGAGGGCGGTCGTATCTCTGCAATAAATCAAGTCGATCTCCGGTTAGCCAACATTGGGTGTGAACAATTTATTTGCGAAATAGCGCCCCATGCCGCCTTAAAAACCAGGGGCCAAAACTTTCGTGCGCGAATTCATTTTAAAAGGGGGGCCTCCGTCTGGACTACCCAAAAAATGTATATAAAAGGAAGAAGTCGGGCTTCTTCTGTGAGGCAAGTTCAGGGGCAGCCTACGGTCTTAATGCGTATTACACAACCGGCGAAAATCGATAGGAATAAAGGTGTTGATTAGCTCCAGCAATTGCCTCAAATGAAGAGTACACGCCTCTGGGTAATTTTGGTAAATTATTCATACCTTTGCAGGTGGACTCTGGCAAACAAATGCAGAAATTGCATAAGTCCGCAGTTCGATTATATTGGATTCGTAGGAATTGATTTCTTTATCAAGCAATCCTCTTTATTCTATTTCGACCATGGTTTTATTATATAACATGATATATCTTGTGAAGGGTAGTTACTAAATCACATCCTGTTATTCAATTAAATATTTCATTTAGCTTAACAACTCGGTAGTGATCAAAAACTTGTTATTGACAATACGATTGGCTTAACAACCTTTACAATTCGATAAACATCTAATTGTTTTCAATACTTTTTGAAAGATTTATTATTTGATTTCAATAAACATCTGTTGGTTGTACTTATATCTTTTTGAAGATTTATTATTTAACTTCAAGTGTCTTAGGACATTTATTATTACTCAGAAAATGATTTGATTGCATTGGGTATTTTATGGTAAGTGTGAGTTTAATAAACTCTAGTCATATATATATAATAGGTCAAATAAAACATTTATAAGTGCAAACCAGAACAAGGGTAAATAATAAATGTTTAAATTACTGGAGTATATATATTTGCAATAAAAAACTGTAAGTCAACCTATATATAGAAGCATGCAGGTTAAAGGGTTCCGTTTAGCATGAAACTATTTACGAAATAATGGAACTTTAATTCCAGCTCTCCTTTAGATCTTTGGATTACAAAAATTCTTCGGTAATTCTGGCAGGCAATTGACGCCGGTAAATGTTATTTTGATTTTAATCGATCGTAATGCCGGATGACGTCAAAAGCCCCATCAGGGAGACTGAGACTGAGGAGACCCGAAAGCTCCGTAACCCGTAACCCTAACCCAGTATGTTATAGACGGAGGCCCTGAAATTCGCCGCGTCACGAAATGAACAGAGAGAGAAAAAAATGGAAGAAATGGTGAAGGAAAAACCGAAACACGCATATCCATATCCCATGGTTGGCGGTTTCATGGTGCAAACAAATCAGAAATCACAAAAAGAGTAAAAGCGAGGGGCAATCCCTAGCAATTAAAAACAAAAGGAGACCGCATCGAAAAGGACACCTCCGAGGAGTACGATTCACAGACCGTAACAATTGCGGCTGGTATGGGGGCTATTAGGGGATATAGTATAGGCATAGGTATAGGTATAGGTATAGCTATAGCTATAGTTCAACTTACCCTTGACATAATTAGGCGGAAGAACTACTCGCGGCTTGGCTGTGTAGTTCATGTGGGCTTCCGTGGCTTCGCTCAGCCTGCAAAATGAGCAGCGAAAAACAAAAGGGGGAAATTCAAATGCAGTCCTTTATAAGGGGGGTATTATACATATATTGGAACCAGGGGAACCCCCTTTCAGAGGTTGGGGCTCGTTCGCCCCTGATGTCTGCCACATGCAACTGTAGCAAACTTTGTCAATTTAAGTCTGAATTTGAAATTAACTTCCTTCGTGCTGGCCGGAGCTTCGATTCGATTCTGTTCAGTTCGGTTCAGTTTAGTTCCGCTGTTTAACCTCCTGGCAGGCGAATAATAATATTAGTTTCCTCCTTTCCAATCGGCCGTGTATGCCGTGCAGGATTCTCATTTGACTGTGATCCAATTGACCTTGCTATGGGTATTTCTTCGAACTGAAACCAAAACCGAATCCGAACAGAACCGAACCGATTATGCATTTGGCAGTACGAAGGTTCCCCTTGAACTGGAAACGATTCTGGGTCTGGGATAAGTGGGGGGTTGCACTTGGAGCCGTTGGAACTCCAGATGGTTATAGAAATGGGAATCGGTAACTGGAGCTTACCACATCAGTATGAATCCCAGTCCAAACGATATGAATGCGTTTGTGTTGAATTTGTCGAGCATGATGTTGGGGCGACGGCACGGGAAAGGATTTGTAACACAGACCTCAAATCATCTCACTTTACACCGACGTGGGAATTTCATAATTCGGTTTCTGTAACACAATATTTTCGATCATTTGCATTGGCTTTGCTTTGCGTATTTTATTTAATATTTTTTGTTTCTTTGGACTGCTGTTCTTACATTTTGTTTTGATTTGAATTTTTCTTTGCTCTCTGGCTGTTTTTTTTTCAACTTTCTTTTGGGGGCTTTTTTCACTTGGTATACGACACGAACACTGAACAAAAGATGTATGTATTAAGAGAGATAGAGAGAGCACAGATCGTATTTAAAATGGGTCCTTTTTGGGTTATCGCTATCCACAGGGTTTTTGCCTCCGACTCGGCTGCTGTTCGGAACTCGAATAAACAAGAGTCGGGTTCTCGCGGCGAAAGAGTGCTCATCTAGATACGAGTATCTGTATCCGCATCTGTGATATGTAGATTCCACGCCCGGCTGTGTGGGCGTGCGATTGCGGATTGCAGTCGTAAAATGATATCTACAGTGGTAACTCCATAGCTGGAACTGACCGAAATTCAGTTCTCTGATTTCAAATGACAAAGAATTAGTTTCTTTGTTATTAAAATATTCGAATTCTGTTAGGATTATCCATTACTTGGGTTTTTATAACTCGTTTATCCCTGTATCTCCCAAATAAAATAATATCCCTTAAAGGCCTCATAGTACTTTAAAGTTATTTATTCATAAATCCTTCAAATTCTATTAGATTACTCTACTAATTATGTCTGTAAACCTCATTTATCCTTATGACTCTCAAATAAAGTACTATCACTAAATGGTTAATAGACTATAAAAATGGGTTTATAGGTTTAAATACTGAATTATGGTAAGGTAAGCTATGGAACTTTATTGGAAGTCCTCGAGCGAAAGAAGGTTCAAGCTATGGAGTTATCACTGTAGTTTTAGACGAGGAAGGAGCTGGAGTGGAGGTGCTCCGCCGGCGGTCAAGGCATGGCATAATGCTGATGTACTGGTAATTGCCCCGGCACAGGGCACACAGCACACTTCTCGCCAAGATTCAATTGAATCGCGTGCCAATTTTACTTAAGTCGCTGAACAGACAGACAGCTTTCGCGGTGGCCGGTGTAACGTCTCAATCTATGCGAATATTTATGCGACCGATATTGGGCAGATACAGATACAGATACGGGGATACGAGGGATCCCATGGGTGCGGGGAGATGGCATGGACTGGATAGATCGAGGCTTTCAATTGCAGGCTTCCTGGCCAGCAGCACACACATAATTGCCTGGACATCCACTTCCTATAAATTACTTTCTGCGGCTGACATTGGCAATGGCAATGGGTATTTTCGCGCAAATTAAAAATTCCACTTCCAGATCTGCCAGCGGTCAAGCGACCATACATATATCTACATAGGTAGTATATAAAAATACGGGTGTATGCAGATCGTGAGATGAACCGTATCCGGCTAGGCCCGGACTCAAGTGGTGTGGGCACACACAGATATGGATCTTGGGCAGGAATGCCTAAATCACTCACACCATATGTCATAACGTTAATCTCACAGATACTTTTGCCACACATTCGGCTGAATGATGGGCTTCACTTTGATTGAAAACACGCACTAAGTCAGATGACAAAAAATGAAACCCATTAATATTCATGCGAGGGTAGGATCCTCGGGGCGGCCAAGTTCAAAGATCCCACACATGGATTAATATTAATGGAAGTTCTTAAATGGCTTAGAACTAGAATGCCGCCGTATATTCGTTATATAAAACCAGGATTTTCGATCCCCAGCAATTACATTAATTATGTAGTTAGTGGCATTTATTAATGCTCCAGCGGGGGTTCCATTTGCCGAGAACGTCCTAAAATTACGCGAGTTTAACGCCCGACTCACGCGAACTCCACAGTACACCCATCATGTCCCAGGGCATATTATTCAGATATTAGGTATTATATGGGGAATTACCGCGCTGCGGGAACGACGCGCGCCCGAATCCGTTCGCCTTCGCTCAGGAACTAAACTGAACTGAACGGAACGGAACTGAGCTGTGAAAATACGCGAATTTCTTGGCCGCTCCGCTCGCCTTGCCAACTTTAATACGACATACGAAAAAATCCCCCAACGTTCTGCGGAGGCTCAGGCACGACAACCAACTGTAACGGGTTTCCACTTACAATGAAGGGAGTTGGGTTCGGGGTTTGGGGCTTGGGGCTAGGGATGGGTATGGCTTAGGGGGTCTGGAAGGACGATTGCATGGGCACAAGCCTCGGTTCGCTCGCAAATTGGTGTTGGGTTCCCTGGAAGTGTGTTTGGGAATTTCTAATCCCCATACCCCCAACCTCCTGCAGGAGAAGAGAATGATCAAATGAATGAGCTGTTTTTCAATAACTGTCACACATAAATCTCCAAGTTTTTGATATATAGGTATGATATGTGTATATTAATAAAAAAAAAGGTGAGGTATATATATATTAGGATATTGGGACTTTTTGGTTCTTTGGGTTTCGAGTTTCCTTGGCATAAATTAAGAGATCTTCCATAAATGAGGACTGGTTAAAGCATGGTTTTTTAAAATTATATATAATATCATCTCTCATCAATTGTATATTTGAGATCTTTCTGATCTAGTCATCTAATATATAGGTATCTACATATGAGGGCTCTAGATATATCCCTAACAGCTCGACTTGACTGACATCCGTGGGGTTTTCCAACAAAGTGCATGCGAGTTGACTTGAAAATTCCACAAAATAACCAAAACACTAAACAACTGCCACACCAAAGCGATTCCCCACCTGCCACTAAGCAGTGCCCAAGGGCTGGAAACGAGGCCTGAATGGCCCCTAGACCCCAGACCTCAGTCCTCGTGGGAAATTTCTATATGGCTGTGTAAATACAAATCGCGTTTGTAGAACCCGCGACTATAATATATAGTAGCGCACTGACACAGCCATGTCGTGCATATACTTGATGTAGGCGCTACTACGTGCTGTACATATGGACTTACGGCGAGGTAAAAAGCCACTTTGTTATAACATTCTTGTAGTTGCTGTTGCTGCTTGCCAACTGACAATGAAATGGAGTTTATTTTATTTTCGCTTCGATTGCCTTGCTGTTGATTCCGCTTGATGTTGGCCCGTCGAGCTAGTTAGCAGTTCGCGAATCGCTAGACTAAACTTGTTGTCAGCCAGCCAGACAGTCAGTCAGTTAGGGCTAATTGCCGCCAGGCAGGACATTCGCTGCGTTCTTTTCCAGGGTATCGCGATGTGGCATAGTTGTTGTGGTTTATAGCCACAGCGCGTGCGGCACAGTCAGCCACTTTGATTAATGGTCGGCTGACAACTGACGATGACGCCAACAGAAGGCGACATCCCGGGCCGACTCCAACTCCCGGAGCGAGGGCCTCTAAATCGGATGGACTATTTCCGCAATAACGGCAACAGTTAGTCGGTTTATCCAATCCTTCGTTTATAGATATCACTTAATATATACGCCTGTGTATACATTTCACTTTTAAGCCTAGAGAACAGAGCCGGAAACTTAAGCTAGACAATGGAGGCTCCTTGCTGATTGGTTCGCTGGTTGATCTTCACGTGCGTCTGCCGCTTCTTCTCCTCCTTGAAGGCCTCCGAGTTGGCCTTCTTTTCGATGCGGCGCTCGTTGCGATAGTCCTTAAGCAGTCGCTTCCGCTCCTTTTTCTCTTCAGGGGTTTCGTCCTTGGGCCTGATGGACAGGACGCTCAATGTGGAGAGCACCGATTTGGCGCATAGTGATTTTGGTCCAGCGGCTGCGGATGATTCATCGGTCAGATTTGCCAGGGCTTTTGCTGTCAATTGGCCATCGACCCCATTACGAAGGACATTTGTGGGCAATCCTGTCTTGGGATCGATCTGGATGGGAGCTGGATTTGTGCTGGCACTGGAACGACGGCTACGACGTGGCTCGTCGATCACCTTCGGGTGGTTGTAGATATTCGAGTAGGTGGACAAGATGGACTCACAGTCCCACTTCTTCTGCTTGGGGTCATCCACCTCATAGTCCACCAGCTCCTCCGTGGGATCCTGCTCACCCTCGACCACATTCCGATACTTTTCGATGCGCTCGCGATCCCACTCCTTGTTATACTCGATGCTTTTGTCCTTCTTCTTGAACTCTTTGAAGCACTGCATCACAACTGGATGTTTTTGGTGCCAGTTGCCCTCGATGTCCTCCAGGGCAAGGTCGCCCAGCTCCGGATCATCATATGAGGCGTAGAACTTCTCGAAGCGATCGTCCAGCAGGGAGAGCTGCTCGTTACGCCGGATCACGCTGGAGGACATGGAGTATTCCGTGAAGCGCGACTTGACCTCCTCATCGTCAAAGCGACGTTCGCGCATCAGCGGCGCCAGGCGATCCATAAGCTCGTCGTGGTCTTCCTCCTCGTTTAGGTCATCGGAATCGAAGTCCATGTCAGAGTGCTCCTCCTCGTCGCCCTCTTCACCATCCCAGTCCTCGTCATCGGAGTCGCCCTCAGCCATAGCCTGCATCACGAAGTCATCATCCAAATCCTCGTGCTCGCAATCGCTGTCCAGGGCGGCCACCACATCGGGATCCCAGTCAAGGCGCAGGGTTTGCGGAGCTGCCTTGTTAAGCATACCCTCGGACTCCTCGAACTCGCTGGCGAACACGGAGCTGGGCAGGATTAGCTTGGGTGCCGGGCCCGGCTTCTCGGGATCCTGGAGCTTCTGTTTCCTCGCCTGATTGGGATTCTCCATGAACTCCCAAACCACGTCGTTCTCGCGCTTCTTCAGATGCTGCATGTAATCGTAGTCGTCGTCGAAGTGGATGCCGAACTTCTTCAACTCCTCCTGACGCTTCTCGGGATCAGTGGTGGTCGGTGCCTCCTCCTTGGGCTTCTGTTGACGGGCCGCCGCCTCGAGGAGCACCCTCTGCGGAGCATTTTCATCGGTCACCAGAGGATCGTGCTGACTGCGATGGACCAAATGGAAGGTGACCGCCTTCTTGCGGTCAATGTACGGCTTCTTGCCCTTGACCTGCAGTGGGGGGTTGTCAATTAGAAGGGTTTTAAACGATATAGACGTCTTTTACCCACCATTATTTGATTGTTTTCGAGAAATCTTTTGTAAATACAGAAAAACACATGTGCCTGCTGGAGCTGCCACCCAGAAAGGAATTTTGCGGTTGCAGTCCTACGGTCACACTGTTGGGGTCACTGCGTAATTTGGTTCAGTGTTGGGCAGCGGCTTAATAAATTCAAAAAATAGGCGCCAAACTTAAGTGCCGTTATTTTAAGAGCTTATACGATTAATAAGCTAAAAACCATGTTCGAGTCTATAAAGTAAAGATACATTTTCTCAGCTGCGATTACCATATAAGCGATCCATCCCTTTTGCCAGGAGTTTTAGCAATATGATTGCAGTTTAATAACTATATATTCGCAAAGTTTAAAAAGTCAATGAAGAATACTTCATTGACTCAAAAAAATCACAATAGAAGAAACATAATTTGAAATAAATATTTCTTCGAGCCATTGGATTTTTGAAACCTATTGATAATAAAAGGAAACATTTTTTCCCCTTTTTAACCAGCACATAACCCTCCCAAAATATGTTTGGAAAATAAACGAAAACATTTATTTACTTGGATATTTATTAGTTCGATTTTATTTATTTGTATGTACATTTACAAACTTGTCCCTTTGACAACAATTGTACAATCGCAATGCTTTAAATACACTTGGGTGTGAATATGTTTGGATTTCCATTCGTTACACTCAGGGATCTGTAATCTCAGCTGACTTCAAAGATTATAATTATACATAAACAAGGTAGAAAGTAATAATAGTTAGCCTAAATAGTAAAATCATTCTCTCCTACCGATTAAAAGCTTGCAAAATATCAACTTAAAGTAAATCAAATGTTTCGAATATCAGGCTCCTTGCTACGCGTAATTATACTCACAGTCCTTAAGTTTTTTTAAATTTTTTTTTATGTCAATTAAGAGTTAGTTGCACTTTAGTTTATTTGATAACATTTCTCGACATGCACAGAACAAATTCGAAACGAAGCTTATTTTCTCAATTTGTAAACGATACGCTGGATAGACTAAAAATAAGTATACGCTAGTCACTTTTTGAAGATCGGTATATAGTTATTGCCTATAGAGTGTTTTTTGGGAGCCGGACCCGAGCAGGTCGCTATTGTCTTTGGATGACCTACGGACAGTCCGGCGCCCTCAACTTTGATTTCATTTGCGATTCTTTACAGGTTTTTTAGCTAATGTGTTTTTTATAATGATAATTTGATTATTCCCTTAGTAATTTTGTTGCCTTCCCAGTTCGATTGAGGGCATCACTAGACGAAAGCACTTGGATTGCAGCTAGGCTAGGTACAGTCTGGTCTGCTAGGGGATCAGGTGATCCTTGTTTAAATCCCCTACTTAAGCGCCTCCTTGGCCCTTTGCTCCCACTCGGCGCGTCTCTGGTGGATTCCCTTGAACTCGCCCACGGTGGCGGATCTCTCGATGGGTTTACTGGGTGTTCCAGCTGCAGATGTTGCAGGTGTTGCTGGTGGCAATGCAACAGGTGTTGCTGCTGCTGGAGAGGATGGAGTAGTTGCCATGGGATTGGCCTGCTTCAGTTGCAGGGAGAATCTTTCTCCCGGGGGCTTTGCACTTGAATTATTGTTGCTCATGTTGTTATTCAGGCTACTGCGTCCCTGATTGTTGCTCTTGATGGGGGGCAGATAGGTGACAACCTTGGGCGGCACCTTCTGCTGCTGCTGCTGCTGAAGATTATTGTTGTTGTGGTTATGGTTGAGATTGCGGAAGTCGGCCACCGAATTGCGATTGTTGGTCGGATGATGGGTCACGTGCGACTCGCTCTTCGTCGCCAGTTTGTCCAGTTTCTCCTCGCTGTTCGACTGGTTCTCCTTGTCGCTGTCCACGCTCTGACCTCCACTTCCACCACTGGATTGAAGTTTCTTACTGGTGGTGGTTACTGGGGCAGGAGGTAGAGGCTGTGCCTGCGCCTGCGGCAGGGTCACCACGTCGTCATCCTTCACCTTCAGCGAACGGCGGGCAAAGACCTTCATCAGCTCCGGCGTGGGATCGTCCTTGGAAGGACTAGGGTTGCCATTGCAGCTGGCAAAGGATTTCTTGCGCAGCACCACGGGATTGGAGGTGGGTGAGCCCATGTTGCCATTGACCTCGCAGATTTCGGATGTGGTGGGCGAGGCCACGGGAGTGGCGACTGGAATGGCAGGAGAGGTTGGAATCACCGAGGGAGTGGGTGGTGCAGGAGCAGATGGAGTGGCCTCCGCCTTGGTAATGGATTTCCTGCGCTGCTCCGCAACCTTTGATCGCTCTTCGCTGAGGAACAACCGCTTGCGATCCTCTAGCGAAAGGCGATTGCTTTTGGCCGGCTCCCTGGGACTCACTGGCTCCTTGGCTTCCTTTCCGCTCCTGGGAGTAATGGGATTACTCTTCGGCAATCCATTGCTTTTGGGTGTACTTGGAGTGGTGGCGGGGGTAACCGGTGTGGCCAATCCCTCACTGCTACTTCCATAACTCGTCCTCACGCTATTGGCACTCACGGATCTCAATTGCCTGCCCAAACTGGGCTCCAGTGTCGTCGGCCTGACCACCGGGCTCAAAGGTTTGACCTGAACTGGGTGCTCCACAATCTCAATCCCAGCCAGATTCTCGCCACTGTTCCTTCTGAAACTGAGGTCATCGCTGCTCTGACTCCTCTCCGTGGGCGACTTCAAATTCTTGGCCAGCACCAGGTGATTGGCCTTATTGTGCAGACGAGCCTGATCCACGCGGTTCAGCTGGATCTTCATGAACTCCGGCTCGCCAGTGACCTCCACATTGCTGGAATTCCGTCGGCTATTGGAGGAGGAAGAGGAGCTCTGTCCCTTGGCCGGAGTTGTGGGCGGACTGTTGGAGAGCTTGGCACTCTTGGTCAAAGGACTCGCCGGACTCGGGGTTGGATTCGCCGCCGGAGCTGTGATCTTTGCTCCCAGATCCAGCAGCTTGGGTCGCTGCTTGGTCGGAGTAGATGGCTCCTTGGGCAGCTTCTCTGCTACATTACCGGACTTCCTTAGAACGCTCACCATGGGCGACTTGACGATCAGGTCGATGTTCTGCTCGATCTGGGAGATATTCGCTGATCCTGGACTGCTCACAATCAGTTTTGTGGTGGCCAAGGTTTTCTGGGGTGACGTCTTAGCCACCGATGGCAACTGTCCAGTGGATTCAGCTCGGGCCTGCAGTAACTTGTTGTCGTTTATCTCGAATCCCAGGGATACACACTTGGCATTGGGTGACATGGGGGAGCAGGGGGATTGGGGCGTCTGCTTGTAGTAGGCAGGCACCCGGAAACTCAGCGACAGATCCGGCAAACTGGGCATGTTGTTGTGCACAGAAGTGGAGTCCACCGGCTCATCCTCGTAGTTCCGGAAGCTGCGCGACTTCTCCACCGTCTTGCGCTGCTTCTCCTCGTAGTACAGTGGCGAGGGCTCATCCGTGCTGGTCTCCAACGAGTTGGAGGAGCTGGAGTGCTGGCCCACTGAGTCGCTGGATCGCGACAGCTTCTGCTGGAAGGCGCTCAGGCCCACAATCTTCGCTTTCCTCTCGAAATGTGTGGCGGTGGAGGTGGAGGAGGTGGACGAGGACTCCACTTTGGTCTGCTGTTCCCGCACCAAAGTGGTAGACTGAAAGGTGTCGTTGCCCCGCGAGCTCTTCGACAGCAAATTGGTCACATCGTTGCCCGAGGGGAGCTTCTCCACCGGTGGCATGGCCCCCAGTTCCTTGGGCAAATAACGCTGCCTGGCAGCTGGACCGGATTTCGGTTTCAATGCCGTGGGCGGATGTGGATGGACTCCATAGTTACTGACCATGGCATTCAGTCCATGCTTGCCCTCGTTGTGGATCTCCCGCTTGATCGTCTGCCGCGTTTCCTGAATGTGCTGCTCGTGGGAGGTGGCACTGCGGGACTTGTTCGGCACTTGGAGGGGTTCCCGAGCAGCTGCCTCCAGGCAGGAGGTCGAGATCTGCAGCTTCTTGGCCACACTCTGGCTGGAGTCCGTATCCTCCACGCCATCATTGGCCCTGGCTATCGATCTCTTGGAGTTCCGATGGATCAGGCGGCGCAGGAAGCCACTCTCGGTGGCCTCCCTCTCGTTGGCCAGGAAGTCATCACCATCCGTGGACGACTCTCCGCGGTTCTCCAGCAGCGCGTTGGTTTTGGTGGTCAGTCCTCGAAGTCCGAACATCTGGCTTGTGGAGGAAGACGTGGATGAGCTGGTCACTGTGGTGATGCTGGAGCTCTGCTCGATTGTCTTGGTCCGCTTGGTGGTCACCGAGCTGGCGGCGTTCACCTGGACAGGTGGCGCAATGGCAGTCAGAGTCTTCGGTGGCAAGGAGCGCGTCTTGCTCTTGAGGTCTGCTTCTAATTGGAAGAATTGAGATTATGTTAGATTACTCTATATATCTCTGTACTTTCCAAACCACTTACCATGAACAGCTCTCAATCCAGGGCTTATTTTCAGCACATCCTCATTGGCCTCCGGTATGGAAGTCTAAAAGAAAAATGATTTCAATAAGTTTATAAAAAATATATGCATATGGTATAATTTAAAAATTGGTATAATTTAAAAATAGCTTAAACGCTTTATTTTTATTTATTTATTTTTTTATTTTTTTTTTTGTTATTGAAAAATATTATTCTAATATAGTGTTTCTGGATCTTTGTTCCGTAAAAAGGAATGTAAAACCACTCACCTCCAATGTCATGCGATGCTGCCTGGTGGGTCCCTTCTTTTTCACCGGCCTGATGGCCATTTTGTGCTTGGCCGCCGCATGTGAAAGGCGGTGCCGTTCCCCGCCCACGGCGTCCACATCGTCCTCGTGATGGGATCGCAATATGTCCGATCCCACCGAGATGGACGAACTGGTGGACACCCGCGAGTGGTGCTGGCGGTGGTGATGGGAGCTGCTCTGGCTGTCCTCCGTCTCTGCCTCGGCACTGTTGACGCTCACCAGGCTCAGCGAGGAGACCTCACTGTGGTGGTGACCCCGCGACTGGTGACCCACGGCAGAGGTATTCCTGCTGCTACTAGTTCCACCTGCTGCCCTTCGTTGTGGCGAAGCTGGACTGCGGGGCAGACCCAAATCCTCGTCGGAGGCATCGGGTCTATTACGTCGCTTTCGCAAGACATCCGTCAGTTCCGCCTGGAATTCAAAAAGATATAGGGTTATTTGGGTTTATTGGTTAGGAGCTAAGTGTTTAAGGGTGTTTTTTTTTAAGTTGGTTGGGTTACCCAGCTTTTCCAGCGGAAAACAAAACGAGCCCGCAGGCAACTGCGTCCCAGGCGACTCTCGCCCATGGAGGAGCCGCCCAGTTTCATCTTGAAGGGATTCTGCTTAAAGTCGATCATTTGGCGGGCCTCACAACGCAGACGAGGCTACAAATGACTGATAGGGAATCCCCTATTTTATCTGGGTAATTGTGGTTCCGAAACAGACCTGCGATTCCTTATATTATAATTGAGAGCCCCTCAAAATTCTTACCGCAAAAGAAAGCTGGAAGGGATTTCCCTGCGACCTAAGAGAACCCGAACCTCCGGCTACCATCGCTACGATAATTATGAACTATGGAAATATCTCTGCCAAGCGGATCACGCGATCTCAAAGATTTCACTTTCAACTCGAGCAGCGGCAACTGACGACACCCAAGTGCAATGTGCAACTGAAGATGCAGATGCAGATGCAGATGCATCGAGAGTGAAATGAAAATGGGAATGAAAATGGAAATGGCGTCACATTTTCTTTTTACCTAGACGAAGATAATTGGGTGCAGGGCAGGCACTGGAGATCTGTTTGTTGTCAGCTCTCGACTGATTTTCAAGGGTAGGACTCAAGGGACCCGAACTCTGTCCAAAAGTAAACAAACGAGTCCGAATAGCCCTCCTCCAACTCCCGAAATTCCCTCCTTTTTCCCGTATCCCATGTCGTTCATCTATCAATGTTTGTGGCGCGTGACGTCGCCATCTGTTTGTTGGACTCATTTCTGGTGGGGATGCTATTTTTGGGAGCTCATTGCTCGAGGATTAAGTGCCGGGCTGGTTCAGGTTAAAGACCTCGCCCATCAGTTCTGGTTAAACAATTGCAATTGGGGATTTGGGGGCGAGTTCAATGTTCTGCAAGATGATCTATATGGGCGCCTGCTTCATAGTGCATAAGTGAAGTTTATTTGGAAGCCTATTTTACACTAATTAGTCAGTTATTTTTAGGATAAGTTCACATAACAAAATATTTATCTCGTTTAACTTGATAGTACAAAGGAATATTTAGTGGTATGTTAAAGGCCATTTTCTTGTCGGTATGTTTCACTCTAAATTTCTTATGTTTAAAACCTACTTTTAGTTAGTCCTGAAAACGGCCCTAAGTATATTATAAACATGTTAAATCTAATCTAGGGTCTGATTTCTCAATGTCAGGTTAACGCTCCTAAAAAAAGAAAACTGACAACAAAAAGTACTCCTTTTCAGATTTGTCATACCCAATTTCCCACCTAATCGTGTGATAAAAGATAAATTCCAACAGAAGAATTAAGCATCATGCTAGCTTTCTCTTAAATATGAAAAACTGGAACCTTAACAAGAATTTGAGAAATCCGACTTAATAATAATGAATTCAGAGAATTTCTGAAGCGTCATGAATTCGTTTTCTGAATTCTATAATCTTTGCACTGCATATTCATACCAAATCTTAATATTTTACATAACCGTGCACATCTGTTTTTATTTCGTGGAATTTTTCGCGGTGCCAGTACCAGACAGTACCAGGTAGTTCCCATCCTGCGACCCTTAACCCATTATCCGCCAGAGCTACCTGCAGCGGAAAGAGACTTCTTGGCCAAGTTGCACTTCGCATTTGAGCAGGAAAATAGCAGAGCGGACCCGACCCGTCACGTTCACTGATTTATTGGCCCACTTGGCGAGTGGGCCAACTCAAGGGGACTGAGGAATAGGGGAACCAGTCGGTGGCCAGTTGGATAGTCGGCTCCCAACATGGCCACACACAACACAACCGCCAACATTGATTACCGCAACTTGAAAGACGGGGGTTTTCGTCCAGAGAACGGGCACAACAGTTGGCCAAGTGGGAGGCACATGGCAATCGCTTTGAATTAAATGCAATTGCATCACTGCGATTCCATCCGAGTTGCATTTTAAATACGAGTTAAACAAATGGCCGCCATCTGCAAGTGGGATAAACGCTCTAAAGAGTGTGCATTTAGCTGGTAGCCCCAATCGGCGAATGGCCAACGTGAGTTGACCCTGACTTCGACCATAATATCGAATGGAATATTTATGTAGATCAATTGCAATTGCATGGCGGATCTGATTCAATTGATTGATATTTCACCGCTAAGTGGGTTAAGATTAGATAGAGGGGTTTATTTTTGAAAAAATATCATATAACTTTTAAACTATTACAGCTGAATGTGAGACATTTTGAATGTTCTGTAAAGTTGTCATTTAGAATGTGTATAAATGTATAATAGTGGCTAAAATAGAGTAGAACAAAAAACCAAACAACCTAGCTCTTAGAATACCTTTCGACTAAAAACTTTACACTTTTTCAAGGCTTAAACCTACTTAAAGTTCTACATAAGGATGAGAAAACGGCCCCTAGGCATTTAAATAATAATTAAAATAAACTAGGTATTTTTATTTTCTGTTAAACTACTAGTGGCCTTATGACACTTTCTTAAATTAGTCTGCATTTATATAAGAAATGTCTTGTAAGAGTTATACAAAAAGGAACTTAGGATTAATGACAATTTATAAAATTATATTTTACATTTATTATAGGTTGCCAATACTTTTTATAAATATTTAGACAACAAGTAAAATGTAATGCAAATGTCATAAAATTAGACCATTATTAGATTAGAATATTTGAAATACCTACATAAACTTTTAAAAAATTCGCCTTTGCTGACTGCTTTCTAAATGATGTGTGATTAGTTAGTTAGTTACACATACTAAAAACTTGAGCTTGGCTTTCTCCAAAGCAGACAGACCATGTGAGTATCCAAGAACCCTTCTCCCAACTCTCACCCATCACTCGAGGGGACTCCTCTGGCTGCCTCGCACTTCAACTGCACCAGACATCACATCAAATCCAATCGCCTCGAATCAATTTCTCCTCGGCTGTCAACCCAAGAGCGCGGAAAGTGGGGCCGGGAAGTGGGCCAAAGTAGAAGTGGCCATCCCATATGGACATGGGCCGCATTTCTAAGCCCCCCCCCACCCAACTTTTCAAACTCCAGAATGCGCCCATCGGCGTGCGAAGAAATGCAATTAAAATCCCAACGCGGATGCAGCAATGATGATTGGACATGGGACCAAAAATGTACTCCTAATGGATGCGGAAATCCAGGCGATAGGCAAATGCAGTGGTGGATGAAGGATTGCATAATGTGTGGAATGGAGCCCACCAGACGGGAAGTGTCACAGATCTCATGTTGCCGCAAAACGAATGTAGGCCGAAAATGAAATTTGGAGTGTCGGGAGTGCTAGGAAGTCGGCATGTCGGTACTACTGAGGATTGCTTTTCCCCATCCCCGCCAGAGTTGGTCAATTAGCGTGAAGCGTGTGAAATGTTGCCCCCTCCAATCCACATTCACATCCAAATCCCCATCCCAATCCACATCCAATTCCGATGACGGCCATGCTCGCTCCCAGGCGACTTTAATGCGTGTTACCGTGTTACCATATCGCTGTCATTCCAAGTCGTGCGGGCTAAATGCCCATCCATCCCCCCATCTCTTCAGATCTTGAGATCCCCTGATTTCCCCATACCTTCCTGCAAATCGCTCCACTACATTGTCATTTAGTTTTTCCATTATGGCCATCGTGTAGATGTTTTTCTCTTTCTATTTATCCGCAATTAATTCATCAAACTGGTTGGCCAAGAGCTCGGACTCTGACTCTGGGATCACATCTGCTGGTAAATATTTATAGACCTAAGCTCGTTTCCCGACCTGCTCTTCAGCTTTTCAAAGGAAAATCTCCAAGTCAACTCAACTGACGGGAGGATTAACAGGGAGCCCAGGACAGAATGGTCTTAGAAGATGTGTATACTGAAGGAGGAATGGGAAGAGAATTTATGGAACTGCAATCTTTTCCTGGAAAGGCATTCTGGGAAGACAACAATGTTCCTAACTAATAAACCTTAACGAACCAAGGCAATAAAAGTAAGATAACTAAAATACCTCATATATACAAAGTATCTGTTTTTAATGTGTTATTTTATACATACTAAAAACTTAAGAGGGAGCGTTTCAAAGTATTTGAACCAAATTATATAGGATTGCCTTGTAGTTATATAGAAACGAATTCATTTCGTATTAAAATGCATGCTTTATGTAAACCCACAGTCAACTTAGACAATTCGGTTTAAATATATTGATCGTTTGACCATATCATAAGAAAGTTAATATATCTATTAAAAATATCAATGCCAAGTTATATATATCAAGTAAAATGATAAGCTTTCAAGACCAATCACTAAAATTCCTTCCAGCTTTATAGACTTCCGCATGTCTAATCTAGCTAATCTCCAGCACTCTCTATACCATCCTATAACTAAGGAATCGCAGTTCTTCCAATCTCCAGCACAGTTACCCAGTGGGACCGTTAAATCGCTGGTTCGGTAACTTCTTCACTTGGCTAGAGTCCAGGAATCCCGAGGATCGTGGACATAGCGCGGATCGAAAAGTTCGGATTCGGAATGGGGCGACCGGAGAGCACACTAGATGTCTTCACTGGCTAAAGTCTCGATGCAAACTGATTTAGCGGAAAACTTGCAGGAGTTCAATAGCATAGAAACAGAAAGAAATGCGATTTATTTGCTAACCAGGTTGGCAAATAAGCTGGGAGCCCCGGGGGGGTGAGGGAAAAAGGGGGAAAATGAGGAGGACTGGCCAAGTGGAAAAAAGTGGAATAACAAGAAGCGGCCAAGCGGCCATCGGCTGGCAACTCGTTTGTCCAGAAACCGAAGAAGCAATAGAAGTAGCAGCCGACTGCCAGGAGAAGAAGCCGCAAATTGCCACGCGCTGCCAGAGGTGGAAAATCGCCGGGAAAAGCGGGAGTTTCCAGGGGGAAGGAGGGTGTTTGGCGGGTGGGGCAAAGACTTACTGCAGTCGGTGCACAGAAAGAAAATGTTTCATACAAATTAAGTTTATTTTGATTTTAAAGCTTGTTCAAAGAATAACTACGAACCGTATGATTATTTATCATAATTCACTTTTCTTTATAGCAATTTATTATTCTTTTTTTTTTAATATTTTTAAAAGTTTGATATAAGTTTCAAGATAACAATATTAAGTTTAAAGTTTGATATAAGTTTCAAAAAAATTCTATGATTTTTCCAACGCCTTATAGTGGTTGATATGTAAAAGCAAACTTAAAAAACTTGGATGTCTTCCTTATTAAAATTAATCTTTGCATAGATAAAACTCTTAAATATAATTTTAAGGATTAAAAAAAATCTTTTTTTTTTCAGTGTAATTCCTAACATTGGTTTCGGTTTCCAGTTGCAAAACGCGTGCGTAGTCTACTGTTTTTCTTTTTCACTTAAAAACAAAAAAAAAAGAAGAGAAAAAGCTCAACCGACTTATGCAGTAACGGTGATAATGATGTACATCATGATGTTTTGGTTTATTAGATAACCATCTTATCCAGACTATTTCATTTTGGACTTTCTTTCGGCACATCATTTAATGCAATTCAATTTGGTAGTTTGCAATTGTTTTCAAATAGCCACAAATGGTTATTGATATCTGATTTGGTTTATTTCCATCGTCTGCGGTTATTTAACTTATCTTAATAGAAAAATGCCCAATAAATACTTCTTTATCGTAGATACAATGTTGTTTTCTCTCCCAGGAACACCGAAAACCATAAACAATCAAACAAAAGCCTCAATCGAATGTGAGTCAATGGACTTTGGGGGAGATTCGGTCAGCACAAATGCAGATAAACCAACAAAGGCGCCAATTGAATTTGATTAAAATCAATTTAGATTGATTGCAGCACAAATGTTCAGATAACAAAAACATCAAGCAGATTTCCCTAGTGACCTAAGGGTCGTGAACTTTTTTCGAGGAAGAGATAAAGTAATAAGCTTTTTGAATATAAAAAAAAAACAGATCAAAGAAGAGTTTAGTTTAAAAAAAAAAGGGACTTTAAATATACTGTATGAGGATTGAACAATCCATACTATTATAAAAAATCTTTTCATATATAAAGAAACTTCTAATCCTGACAGGTTTAACAAATCTGATCAAATTACAGTTTAGATAAGGAAAACAACATAATAAATTTCCTTTACCAGACTTCAGATACGATGCTGAACCTTTAATAAGATACAAATTTATCTTTACTTTATTTTTAAAGCCAATACAGTCGTACTCTTAATTATGTTTTAATGAGGAACTGCAAATTCTTTCTTGCTTTTTTTCAAAATTTCACTTCTGTAGAATAATGGTTTGGTTTTAACAGTATGTTTTAATGGGACTTTCCCTAATAAACCAAGGTGATTTTTAAACCTTTGATATTACCAAATAATTAGGGTCTCACCTTGAGTACAATAGACAGACTGCTAGCCGTGGCTGATTCGGAAAAGACGCTGTCATGTGACTGAGACAGGGTATCTCGAGAGTAATCCCTGAAATTCAAGATTGTATTACCACTGTATTATTACTATAAGAGGAGGAAAACCTACCCGTCCACATCCAAGAGGCGACCCTCGCTCAGGCTGCGCTGACTGTCGGAGATGTCGGGGCCACCAGGTCCTGATCCTGTTCCCGAACCGGAACCGGATTCCAGCTCCTGGGAGGAGTCACCCACACTGCGTAGATGGCGCTGTTGGATTCTCTGCTCGGCAAAGTAGCTGTTCCGATTGAGGCCAAGGGAATCTGGGAAGACGGCCACGCCACCATGTTGTCGCTGGGCCTGAAACATGGCCTCCTGTTGGGACTGCGACTGGGATTGGGATTGGGTCTGCGTCTGTGACTGGGACTGTCCTCCCACCTGACTGTGATCCTGCTTGCTGGCCCGCTTTTTGCCCAGGAGCACGCTTAACAGCTCATCGCGATGGGATCCGTATGATTTGGACTTGGGCAGCGATTGCGTTTGGTAGTTCTCCTTCAGTTGCTGCGGATTCAGAGGAGATCCTGGTGGCGATGCTATCCCACTGCGCAGATTCTTCTCACTGCTGCTGCTGGCGGGCGGTGGCAAGGTGTTGCAGGATCCGGGTCCTGGCGACTGACAGGATGCAGGACTCTCCGCCGAGCTGTTGATGGTTCGACGCCGGAAGATGCGCCGCAGGTTACGGAGCGGATGAAATCGACGACGCTTCTGCTGCTGCTGCTGTTGTTGCTCTGGAAGGACCAAAAAGGAGATTTAAAACCCAACTCAATTTGAAAACATTTTTTTAGCTTTTTGTAATTTGAAAAACAGCACGCATGCTGGCGTGAAAAAATAACCTAACTCCTAATGTACTCTTATAAATATTCCTGTAATTATTTTTTAATAAATGCATTTATTAAATGTACTACAAGAAAATCGTCACAAGCCCAATATTAAATCATGGAAAAGCCAAAAATATTTATTTCTTGTTAGCCATTCAATATGTTTAACACAATTATAAAACTAGAATTTGCAGGCCAATCAAACTCAATCATTTTCATACATAAACTAAGGACTCGACTGCTCTTAGTCATTTAGTTTGATTAGTTTTCTAGTGAAAGAAATCTTTTTTCTCATTTTTAAAGCAAATTTGGTGGTTTTGATTTATGTTATAAAATATTTTAAACTCATACCCATGACCACTCTTCTATCATAATTTGATTTGCCCGTCCTCATGTGACGCAACAAGGTACATATAATAATGACAACTAAAGCAAAGTTTCCTATTTGATTGACATTTGGGGCATAAATATTTCAGAGTGAGAGCAAAATCTCTCAGGGATTAGGTTTTCACACTCAGGTGGGGGAAATTCAATTATCAGAGGTTGGAATTTCGTTATCGCAGTAATAGCCACGGAATCTTAAAGGCCCCATTCCCCCAGTGATTACAATTTTAAAAATAGATTTCCATTAAAGTGCTGATGGGGCAATTTAAATTCAGAGAACAAACGATTTTACAATCTTACATAAAATAATAAACAAAACGTAATCATCGATAAGTTCATGATAACTTCCAAGGAAGTGACAAGAAGTCAACTTCCTCAGTTACTCAGCAGCTAAACCAATCGATGGTTAATAGAATTCCTGTGTCATTTCTCAATAAGTAAAAACCACAATATACTAAGAACAATATGAGCGATAAGAAGTAAACAATAAACGGCGAAAACGAAACGAATGGTACCAAAAACATGACCATAATAGGCAAAAGCTGAAGACCTCTTAATGGAGGGAAGTTCTCAGTCGAAGGAGAAGCAAATACAGAGAGATTGTAGGAGTGAGAGAGATGGCTTATATGGGGGAAGCGTCGACAAGACCGATTGGACACCACGTGCAAAAGGTGTATAGGGAATTACTGGACAAGGTCATATCTTATCTCTCTAAAGGTTTGCATATGCTATATATGTGGTTGAGAACTCTTACCAAGGGAACTACTACGTAATTTGGGAGAAATCACTTCTCCGAATTCTATAAATAAAACTTTTACCAATCGAGTTGTAAAGGCTGCACTGCCTTTTATAGCTCTCGCAATATATGGCCGTAGAGCTAAATAATGTTAGTACTCTTTCCATGCCCGATAAAGCAGGAGAAAGAACAATGGTTGGTAAAATTCTTATCGATCATAAAAGAATGAAGAGTATAGTACATTGATAAATACACAATCTAATAAGTATATGTACCCATGCATCTGAGCTAAGTGAAGTGTAAATATTACGACTTGGAGTTCATATTATATAGATGTTATAAACAAAGCACTATAAAATGGGTTTATAATGAATGGTATGGATTCCCGCTCCTGATGACCTCATTAAATTGAAAACAAACTGATAAACATTTTAGTCATCTCCGAAACTCGACATCTCCCAAGTGATTCAACAACAATTTGTGCGTCACTACCAGAAATGAAAGTTACCCAAACAAATACCCATCTCTCAATGGAAAGTCTGCATACCAGCCTAACTAACTCCATATATTAATTAGAGAAAAGAACCTAACCGAACGGAAGTACGAGAATTTCTAAAAAAAATGCCAAGAAAGCTTCGACCTCTAATCAAAAAAACGGTCACGTTTTGGGGGCGACACGCGAACAGCCAAAGATACTACATACTATTTAGGTATATTTAAGTATATAAACAAATTTGTTTATGGCCAAACACATGGGTTGTCATGGGTACGAATACTTCATTTATGTTGCTTTGCTGATGGCTTGATTTTAATGATTAATTTCACCTGCGTTGGGGCTGGTCATCGCTGGTTAGTCATGAAAACATAGGTACTACGGTATAGAAATATTAACTGGGGGGCTGGAGAGGCTCACTGGCGCGTCATTCTATTTATTGCCCTTCGGGGTGTCTGGCTGTCTGTCCCAAAATTGCTTGGGGACCAGGCTAATGGAATTTAAACCGCCCGAGAATGGAATATATATATATATTACAACCCCCGCTCTGACAAGTGAAAATTGTTTATTTATGGAATGCCTAATTGGGTCAGCAGTCAGACTTTTTTCGCCCCCGAGAACGAAAGTACTTCTACACTTGGCTAAAAAGTTCTCAGATTAATTAACTCGAGATTGGGCTGTTTTTAATTGAAAAGTTTGACATCTAACAACATTGTGATTCACACTTTATGAGGCAATTCCGATTACATCAGCATTGTGTATACATTATTTCTAATTTATCTAAAGTCTATTGAGCAAGATTTTTTATTATTACTTGAAATCCCGTATTGTTCGCTGTACTTTGTGTGCTGTCATCAGTTTGGGTTTCGCCTTTTTCGCGAATGTGGGCGAAATCTTGGCAGCATTGTGATCTTTGGTTTGGTTTTGGCTTTGGTAATTCATCAAAACTGATTTGGGGCTTTTCAATTTGGCAACCCGATGCCTTGGGATTAATGTTTCCTCTAATAGCAATGGATTTCCAATGCCCACGTGGGCTTTTTGGAGGTGTTCAAGTGACACCAATTGCCATTCGATTCTGAATTTGCAATTCGAAAAAGGTTTGGCTGCTGCCAAGTGGGTTCGTTATTAATTAATTAATCATTGGAGAGAAAAAAAAAAAAATTTGTTGCCCCACACTCAACATGCAAATTGTGCAAATCAAATGGCGAACAACTTTTCAGCCGGTTGCAGTAATTGGAGACCTTTTTTGCTGTTTTTTTTTTTTACCAGCGGATGTGAGCTCGACCAGCTCTTGGGATTGTTGTATTGGGTAAGGTCAAGTGGGCCACGCCCACATCCCAACCGACCGCCCCCCGGGAACACCGCATGTGGGCAGCTTATCCGCTTAACAAGTGCTGAGTTCACTTGCGTGGAATAAAAATAGCGAGCCACCATGGAGAACGAGTCAGAAGAATCAGCACACGAAGCCCCCAAGAGGTAAACAAAAGCTCCAAGAATTGCACAACTCTTGCTGGGGAAAAAAATAAAATAAAAACGGGTCTCTCGGGGCCTTCAAATGTTGGCTTTACTCGTGCATATAGTAAATTGCAATGCTGCAAACCTCGAGAATTGAATGTTATATGCCGATGGATTAGCCAAGGTTCGTTGAGTTCGTTGGTCAAAGAGTCCAACAAGGCGTATGATTAATTACATCAACACGGCCAATAATCGCTGAATTTCCAATCAACTGCTGCGTAATTCTTCCAAATAGAAACTGAGATACAGTATCGCCTGCATTTGCGGCTATATAGATTAGACATAATGCCCAAAAGCTATAAATAACTGGGTAGTGGAGCTATCAGAGAACTATTAAAGATTGCCGAGGAAAGGGAAGTGGGTACACAAAGTAATGCCCCTTAAGTAAGTGTTACTTTTAGTATTACTTTAAGTTTTATAATTCACTTAGACCTAAATGTATTTAAATAAATTATAATAAATGCATATAAGAAGCTAGTTTCTATACCTTTTAAAGGGCAAGTATTTTATTAGCTCTTTACTTAGCTATCTTGGCCTTTAGATAATACTTTGTCGGCAGAAACGTTCATTTTCATTTAGTATGAACTTATATTGACTTATAAGCATTTATTAATATTGCAAGGGTATAAAACTTTCATTATCATTTCTAATTAATTATAATTGCTTAGGTACTCGATTTGGAATCAGTAATAATTGGAATCGGTATATGAAATTGGTATTCAAAAGAACGAAAACAAATATTTTCTAAACTTTAGCCAATTTCTAGGTTCCCTTTGGAAGTTCCATGTTATAATAAGTACCTGTAAATGATCAACGTAAACTTGCTTTCTACCACAAACATGTTAATTAAAATAATTGAGGTGCACTTAAACCTTTTCTCCGTTCTTTAAATTTTATATAAGATTAGAGCCCAATCAGTCTCTGTTCCAAAAAAGACCTTTGGCCAATCTTGAGACCAGAAGAAGTCGACTGCAATCAGTCGTCTGCGTGCCAATGGCCATGGGCTTATCAGTCTTAACCTGGCCAAAACGTAGCGCCTTTATTTGAGTTGTTCGCACTCGAACGCGACAAATCACAACGACCAGCGGTACGCAGCAAATTGATTACACAACTCATATGGCACTTCAATTAGAGGCGTCTGGTTATTTGCCCCAATCTCCAGCTCCTCGTAACGAGGTTTCTTTCGGCGCGAGCTGGGATTGAACCCAAACTCATCATCATCGTTTGATAAGCCCCAAACTCATGTCAACTTATATAATGGTCCATTATTTAATGAGGCGATAGGTGAATAGTTTTGAACTCTATGCTCATATAGGCGTATTAATTGGGGCTATTCTATTCTGATCATGATTTGTTTCGAGGCACTCAACAGTCAAAAAATTAAAGTACAACTTCAAAATTAAATAGCACACGAGTTTCCCAAAAATTCCTTTTCATTCTAGTCCAAAAAATACAATACTTTTTATTACCTGTTTAAATATTTATTATAATGCCAAAAAAAGCGGCAGATGTTTTATTCAACCGAATTGTTTACTTTACTGATTGTTGCCTATTGTAAACAAGCTTGTTTCATTTAGAAGACACAGTATGGCATAAATATCTTTAAGTATATGTATCTACGTTTTACTTTAACTTCACTTCATAGCACACACAACTTTGCACTTAGTTCGATGACTCGAATTGTGGCTGTTTTCCCGATATTATCGATTAAACTTTGTTGACTTTTGTGGCTCTGTATCTTTGTATCTTTCGGGACTCGGATTGATCGCAGACGGATTGCGAATTGCAAAGCGGGATTACGGATTCGATTGAATATTGCGATTGCAATCAGCGACAGCGAAGACAATTCAATTAGTGCAATAACCGGCGCGTTCGACAGCGAAATTGCTCACCTGTTCAGGTGGAGCGGAGCGCACAGAATGAATTGAATCAATGGGACAACACGAAAGACCGCCGTGGAAATCGAAATAACAGACCCCCAACGCAACAACACAGACACAAACAAAAAAAGTACCCACTCTCGGGAACTGAAATTGAAATCTACGAAAACGAAACGAAGCGAAAAGGCCGAACAGACCCCACAAAACAGAAAATACCGAACCGGCCGTACTCAACTGAACTCGGCGAAAATGAATCGAATCGAGTCATCGACAGCGGGATTGGGCTTATTGGCCAGGTTGTGTTGCCAATTCGGACTGATTAGCGTTTCTTGGCCCACTGCAGGTGTCTGCAAGGCGTCTAAAGCGGCTAACAGAGCGCTGTTAGCAACAGACACAGTGGGCCATATAGACTGTTTAATGGGCAAAAAATTGAGCGTCAATAAAAAATTAATGAACCATATGTTTACAGTAAACACAGCCAGACTTTATAGTGGGCTGCCTACAAAAACGTTGTAGGACTGGCTTTAATATTACTAGCCAAATCAGTAGAATTTATAATAAAATTGATTTGGATTGTAAGGGTCCTCAATTTCTAGAAACACAAAAACATATGTTTTATTTTGGAATTTTTGGAACCTTTTAAAAACATGTGTTTTGTATTTGGTATTATTTTTTTAAGTTCAAATATTTTTTGATCTTGGAACCAAGGTATTTTTTAAGCACTGATTAAGAAATTTGAAATATTCTTAAATATTTTTTACACCTTTTTTAGAGGTGAAGTAATTTTACTAAAAAATTAAAATAAATTCTCAAAGGTAGTTATATTGGAAATAATACCTTCTATGCGATTTCACCCACTGTTCAGCGATCCGACTCGAACCTGCTGTTTATGCCCATTTATTCATGTTGAAACTTAGTTGTACATACACTATGTACATGGTCCGTTATTGTTGATGGCATTTCTTTGTGGGTGTTGTCATAACGACCCCAGTTCGAGTGCCCCAAAAATGGATAAAGCTTCCTATACCTATTCCCATTACGAACCCGAAGCCAGAACCTTTGTGGTCGATTTTAGCTGTGGATTTGCATTAAGCGTAGAAAGTCGCGGGGGCGTTAATTAGCACGTGTAGCTACATGGTATTACCCACAATTATATAAACATTATCCAGTTATTCAGTTGTCGGTGGCCTATGAGGGCGAGCCCAACGAAAACAAATAGACAAAGGCCGGTTCTCATGTGAACTAAGGTACATATAATACGTATGCTATACCCATTTGAATGTGGCTCAATCTGAATATGTATTATGGCCACTTTTATCTCGCACTCATTGTGTGTGCATCTGTATTTGAATCCGGGGGAGGTGGCGTCAGCAAACCGAAAGCCAAAACAACCCACTAATTATGCACATACGAAACAAAATAAGAAACCAGCAAACGAACTCTTACATCTCTCTGTTTACTTTTACCAAACAATCTGTCTAAGTCGGCTAAACCCCAACCACATGTAGGGTGTTTACAATAGTGCGGCTTTGTTGGCTCTTTTGCACACTCTCCTAACTATCCATATCTGCAGAGGGTTCACAGATCTGAACTCTGCAAAACCGCTGCAAACAAAGCTGGTTCACTTAGTTTTTCAAGGAAGCCTCTATCTCGTTCCATATGATCGATGGCATTACTCTGGAAAGTGATGTAATCCAATCTGCAGTTATTTTTACCCAAGGCTGAGTATAGGGAATTGATTTAACTTTAATAATATATGCGCTGTTTTCTGTTCACATCTTTAGGCTCACTTTTTTTAGGGATTACTTTATGACGCTATCCACTCACTCTTCATGCTATATGCATTTTATTATAATACCTAAAACGTTTATAGTAAGTGATTCTTGGAAATAACTTTTTTCTAATAAAATAGCAAAAGTATCATTAAATAAATCAGTAGTTTTCCACTCTTTCCACTTTTATTGTATTTTTAACCAAAAATAAATATAAAACTCTACCTATACCCTAAGGTAACGTTGTATAGCATTGCTTTTTTTTTGCAATTCCAGCACAAAGCAAACAGATATCCAAAGCCCATAAAGCATCCAAAAAGCCCATGTTAACCCCAGCCAAACTGCCGTCAACCTTTGGGGGTGGCAATCAAACCAAACGCCAAGCCTTTGGCAATCAGCGAACCTTTTTTCGCAACCCATGTCCTGGGGGATTTTCTTGAAATGATGAACACGTGAGGGAGAAATCTTCAATATTGTAAGTGAAACCCGGAGAACGAGAGCCGTAGGGCCCCAAGGCAATTTCATAATCCCACAATCCGCACTTGAATGATTTAATATTGCAGGCTAACGAGAAATTCCCCGGCAGGAATATATGGGATATACACGACTTTGCTTGTTTGTTTGCTTAGTTTTTCCTAGTATTATAAGAGCAATTAGGTAACTCACCGGCGGTTGGGGATTGGTGGGCATCGTTTCCTGGACTGGAGATGGGCGTAGAGGTGACTGCGTGGGCGTGGGCGTGGCCCTCCGGCATTGACAATGGTCCCCCGGCTCCACTGGCATCCAACTCCGATTCCAGCGGCGGCGAGTTTTCCCTCACACACGACATCAGGCCGGAAGACATGCTGTTTTGGGGGCGAAAAGAGGGGGTAAAACTATTTGTAATTGCCATCTGCAAAAATGCGGTATTAGTGCAAGGGAAATATCTCTGGTGGGAGTTTGGTCTCTTCCGTAATATAGTACACCTATGGATTCTACACTTTCTACCAAGAACCCATCACTCACTTGCCATCCTGACATCCTGCGACACCGCGCTAATGGATCTCCATTATGGCGGTGTTCTGGAGGAAATTAAATGTCATATTGCATTCGCGATAAAAGCAACCACCAGCACAACCGGGCGGAAAAACTCAGTCTGCAAAATGACAGAGTGACAGGGCAATTGGGTTAAAGTGTCCTCAAGTTGTGGTATTTAATAGCATTTTGTGGGTATTATTAAAACAATTACTTATTTAAGGCTGGCTAATTTGATGTCTTGACTTTATAATTATAGATAAACACACATTGACACATTTTTCTCAATTAAAGTAATCGGTTGTCAACGGAAGATGGAAACAAGAAAGATTACCAATCCAGTTTGATAATATATTATAAATTTTTTAATATTTAACAATAAAATTAACAATTCGCAAAATGAAAATGATGACAATGTGAGACAAACACCTTTAATCTATTGATTCATGAGAACTATAAATTATCTTATGATTCAATAACTAAAGTTAGATACAGAAACTACCAGGTGAAATATTCCTATTCATGATTAAGGAATTGTAGATTTCAAAACACAACAAAGCTTTCTATATTCTATGTAAGTTCATTACCATATATTCAATGTTTTAGCATATTATAGTGAATCACATGGGTGTAAATGCCAAAAATTACTGCTCTTGGGCCCATCCCACTGTCAGTTCAGTCAACCCACTTGATCACCCCGAATCGACCAATAAATAAATGTCATGGCCCGGCAAGAGCAGAATGCATTTTCCATTTGTTCGGCGGATTCTCTCGAATCGCTTGGATCCAAAGGCATTTCAAGGAAAGCTATTTTCAACTAGGAATTTGCCCCTTTATCTGAACTCTGTGGCCCGCAGACGTTGTGGATGTGCATATGCCTTTGGCTCAGGGTCTGTATTTGCTGTCTTTGGCTTTATTTTGCCTTTGTTTTGGCGCCGCAAGAACGGGACGTGAGTAATGGGTTACCAAACGGATGATTCATGCCAAGTTCGGGGATGCCAAACACTCACAGACGTTGCGAGATTTATATTACATCAGGCGGGACGAAATGTGGGAACAAGGAACAGATCTTAAATCGCAAAAATGATTTACAAGCGTTGTAAATAAAAATGAAAAGTTAAATGTAAACGTCAAGCGTTTTTATAAAAATTATAAGAAATTCAACATGCTTGAAATTTACGACCATTTGAACCTTGATTAAAATAAAAACATAAATCAAAATACCACTTACGTTAGGTTACGCGGTGGTATCTACGGTGAGTCACACACATGAGGCTATTAAACACTATTTATATTACCAATAAATTTTTCTAAATCAAACCAGTTATGAGATACCTAAGAGAGATATTTTAACAATATCAAGAACGATTTACTCTTAAAAGCAAAAGCAAAAGAGAATGCTCCTTCTCGAAACCGAGAATACTTTTACTCAAATTGAGACAACTTAGTTTCAAAAAAGTGTTCTCAAATCAAGAGCACTTCTTCTTGAAGTTGGAAAAAGTGCGATCGGAGTGGAAATACTGAAATCGAGACTGATAAGAACGGTTTTTTGACTCGGTAGAAGAACTTCTACCTTGATTTTTGAAATGATAAATTATTTTTACACCGCTTTGACCTACAGTAAAACATATTTGCATTTTATTTTAATATGATTTATATATACTACAACTTTTTAGATGGCGGTTATATACAAAGAGCCACTAACTAATTTTGTTAGGTAATTAAAATGCTTGTTTAAATTAAAATATGTGCAGTTTACCCGCTTTTAACTGCATACTTTTAGGTGGTTTGCTAAATTTCTCAAACACATATACAGCAACTAATTTGTAATTAGTGCGGTTGAGGGCGAGGGATTAACGCTCCAAAGAGCCAGAGAGTTAACCCAGTTAGTTGGGCTGTCCAAATACCGCGGTGGGCTGACATTTGACCCTTTAAGGCAACAAACCCCCCACCGACGTGTTCCGTGTGCACAGTGAATTTGATGTGCTAATTAGTGGGGAGAACACACCCCTTTTGGCACTTTTTTCCGAAACCCCCCTCCCCCTCGAAAAACAAGCGCAAATTGCAGTTTAAGCGTTTTTTGCGCATTGAAATGGAAACTGCAGCCGCGGATTCGTGTCGACACTAGTGGGTGTATATGAAAGTGCATAAGTGCATGGCTGCCTGGGTGCAGTTGATGAAACGATGAAGAGCTCTGTAATGATGATAAAAACCGCGATGACGATGATGTTGATTGGAGCAGACAAATGAGCAGCACAGCCAGCACAGCTGGAAAAATGTTCATTTCGTTTGGAGAATTGGTTAATTAAACGGAATGACTGGGGGGTCTAAGTCCTATATAGATGATGTATCTGCTTTTTATGGGGGAGGAATGGGTTGGCGAACAGTCAACTAAATGCGATTTTGACATTGAACTTGGGGGAATGCCAAGGCGAAATTCATTTAAGCTGCCAATTGAGCTGGACTTGTAGGGGGAATTAGTACGCTAAATACTGTAGTTTATGAGTCAGGTTTGGTTGCGATTGATACACTCATAGCCATTCAAATTCATAAAACCTTTTTATTTGTTTCATAAAAATCATATAGTTTAATCAATCCATTTTAACAGATTTTTTGGATAAACATTCTTCAAAACCATAGATTTTTAACGCTTTCTAGGCCATTGAAAGATAGTATTTTTTCTTTATACACTTAAATAAAACAAGAAGTTGACGGTGAAAAACTATGATCTTAAACATCCATTAACTTTTTATTTTATAAAATAATAAAAAAAATGTATGATAAGAAAATTGCTAGTAATTTCCACTAAATTACTTCAACTTCACTTAAATCTTGAGTTTCCCTGCAGTCTGATGAGCTAAGCAGCCATTAAAATCCAATTAAATTTCCGCCGCAGTAATTGATAAACAGCCCGAAAGTATGCCGCATTTTCCAGGCAGACAGGGCGTAATGAAAATGCCACCTTTGATTTTCCCGTTCAAGAGTTTTTCCAACGTTTTTCCACCGCGACGAGACTCGAGGCAGACGGAAAACTGAGACGTGGTCTGGCACTTTTATCTTAATTTTTTTTTTCCTTAACCGTAGCCGCAAAAGTAACTCATCACCGACACGCAGTTTTTGCCCGCGGACTCGCTAGCTTGTATCTCAACGTGAAAATCTAACAAATTAACTTTGACTTTCATTTGCATTTCGCAGATGAGCACACACTCACTTGGCAAACTAAGCAAACACTGCAGGGAAAATGAAAATAAAAATAAATATAAAAGCGAAAACCAAAGGAAAACAAAGCCAAAACCAAAACAGCCCAAAGTAAAGAAAACAGGCAGCGGCCACAAACTATAATTATGTGTGGCATTTGCATAGGCCCAAACACGGAGCAGCCTGTATAATTGCACTCGCTCATTACACAAATTTGCCAACTTAATTACGAGGAGGCCCAGACAATGGGCCAGGAAGCCGATTTGTGGCTCTAACTCCAAGGCAAACTCATCTCGAAGCGAGCTTCGGTATTCTCGAATTTGTTAAAGCCATTAACAACACGGAGAAAAATAAGGTGAGAGTTGATTAAGTTTCTTTGGGAACCAAAAGGTTGTTCATCCCACACTTTAATCCCACAGAATTAAATGCAACAGAATCTGTTTAGTTTAATCGGAAATAATTTTTCCATTTGGTATTACTTGGTGTTACTTGTAAGCTTTGAGTGTTACATTATACGGAACAATTTATAAATGAAAAAAAAAAAACATTTAAAATGCCTTGAAATATTTTAATAATATACAGCTTTATAATAAATTCAGTAAATTAAATTTACTACAAGCAATAATAACCTCTAATAAGTTTTGCAGACGATTCTCGACCCTGATAAAAACCTACAAATTACAGTGCACTTTTAAACAGAAGTTAGTAAAAATGTTCATCATCCAAAATATAGAACTTGTATCATAACTTGAATATCATAAACTTTCTATAAAAATAACACACAGCAAAGTTCTTCTGATTGCAGTTATGAAAAGTAATATTTAAATATGCAGTGTATTGTATTGTTTCTATAAGACTAATTTTACTTTTCTGCTTTTGGAAAATAATATTTATGATAGGTTAATCCAGAATTTTTACAATCCTGGGAATGTTGAAAAATGATTTTCTTTAAATTTAATTTACATACACATGTGACTTTATTATAAACCAATTTATTTAAATTCCTCATTGTATAAGATTTGGCAACAGGCTGATTATAATAATGTTGTTATGCTAATGAATACGAATAGGTATCACATCTTTGACGTTTTTCCCCTGTGTACCCACTTGTTAGCGACACTTCAGCACAATTCCCAATGGCTGGCTGGTCAGCAAGCGTCATTGCAAAACGGCCAAGTGTCATAATGGCCAAGCTAAAGAGCTGGACAAACTGAAAAGGAAAGTGCCCCTGACCGGAAAGCTCACACAACTTAGATCGTGAAAGAAAAGCAAACAACCGAACAAAAGTGCAGGCTCATCGCAAATCACACGGTGCACAACCTCCGTAGTCCGGAGTATTACCGCACTTTATTTGCCACCAACTGAATGGATCTGTCATCAATTTTAATGACCAGGCTTCTACGACTTTGGACAAAATGCGAATCGGGGTCGTTTGGGTCCTCTTGAAGGTCGTCTCAAAGTGTGAAAATGCCAAAGTTGGGGATTAAAAACGGCAATTTTTATACTTAACTAAAATACGTTTGAATGCAAATTTCGATTTTAATAAATCATATTAGCCATACTTCCATTTTCTCTACATCAGCATATATATATAAATGGATTTCTTGTTTACATTTTCAACCATTTTATTGCGAATCTTAATTGAAAACGCCAAAAAAATGAAATATGTACATATTTATGAGGCGAGAGATGGATGTTTCTTGTGTATACAAAATAACACTTAAATGTAAAATATACACAAAGTGGGAGAAGAACATAAATATTTCAGATAATATTTGGTCAAGAGAAATGCAATGAGCTTTATTTTACCGGCCTCAACAATTTGCGAAACTTTGGACAAGTATTGCCAAGTGGGCGTAAGGCTGATAAGAAAATAAATTAGCAAGCCTTAGTTGTATTTTTTAAGCACTTGCTTAGATATATATTTACTTGTTTGAAAAATGTATTTAATTCATAATATACCAAAAGCAATTTATATTAATTGTATTTTGGGTACAAAAGAACTGAAGACGTAAGTACACAAACCAAGCTAAATTTCTTTAGCTTTTATCCACTATTTGCGCCTAATATTTATTCATTAATTTGAAATTCAATCCACAAGCTATTAAGAGAGGCTCCCAAATACCAATAAATTATCTACCGTCCCAGGGGAGTCTAATTCCCTACCAGACCATTGTTTTCCTAGGCCCATTTAATCGCATCTTCTTCTATTTGATTGGGCTCTACAAACGGCTCTCGTGTTTATACAGTCCATATTTTCGCTCCATTTGACAAATGCGAACTTTGAACCCGAGGCCCATTCAAGGGGCTCATGAAAATGTCCCCACCTTCTTATCAATCAATCTGTGAATCTGTGTATGATATATGGAAATCGATGGAAATCAATAGGTGGGGAGGGGTCAGCAAAAGTTCCGATAAGAGCGTTGCTATAACGATGATGATGATGACGCAGAAATTACTGATTCAGAGATTCTGAACCCAAGTAAAAATAAGATGCTGATGTTGATTTATTTGCTGTTTACTTTTTGCGCTGTTTTAATTGACAGCCAGATGGGATTGTAATTTTTCCCTTTTTTTTACATACTGCAGATCCAGATCCGAATCGGTGGGACTAGCTGACATTGCGGGGGATCTTCGCCGTTCACCATGAAAACACTTTTCGAACTTCACAGATTTTTTCCCGTTTTTATTCCATCCGCGTGGCCACAACTTGTGGCTGCTGGAGTTGAGCGACTGAATCGGAATCTCTGTGCGGATTTCGTAGTGCCGAAGGGTAAAGCAGTTTGGGGATTACGGGGTATACTGAATCGGGGGTCTACGAGTGCGTTCGTGCCCAAGGTCAAGGAGCGCAACTGCGAGATGTGCTCTCAGTTCGGCATCCCTTTCCCTCTTTTCAGCCATCCTTCTTGCTCTTTTTGCGTGGGCGGCATCGCAGCATCATTGCTCATAAAGTTTTACATCCACTGGATTTATGTTTCTAAGAATATATGGGAATTTTGGAACTCTTGCCAGTAGAACTAGTAGAATAAATAAAATACCCTGAAGGAAAGCGGTTTTGAAATAAAATATAGGTATTTTAAATCGATTCACCTCACATCAATGTCTTTTAAAGACTTAAGATTTAAAATAATTTTAATTCTATCCAAAACTTTGTTATAGGTGATTTTTATTTTTTCTACTAGCTATACATTTCTAATTTCAATATAAATTTTACTTATATAATGCTTGGTGTTAGATTTTAAACTCTATGAAACCCAACTTATATTATTTAAAACAAATATTGTTGAAAAAATTATAATTTTTGTCTTGGCTGTTATTAAACAAAGCTAAAACTAAGTTTAGTTATGTTAGATACAAATTAACAACAAAAATCAAAATTATTTTTCACTTCAAAATTCCTTAATTCAGATTTATCTTTTTTAAATCGTCTATAAGTTTAGATATTGTTTTAGCTATGTACCACAAAATTTTTATTACGTTCTTATTTAATGATCCAAAACTTTTTTATATCTGGTTTAAAATCAGCTATTATATTGTTTTTAATTTAACCAAATAAATTAAAATAATCCTCAATTTAATTACTTTTGAAGCCAGAAAAATCCCTCCTCGGTGAGTTTTAGAGCCTCAAAACTTGATGTAAAAAATAGTAACAAACATGTTTCCAATCCAATGTTGCCAGGACATCTATAACTCTCTTCCTCTCTTTGCGCAGTCGCATTTCCGGCCATAGAAACCAAAAGTGAAGCCAACACACATTTATACCCTTGCCAAAAAAGAGAGAGCCTGACCTAGTCAACGAAATTGTCAGAAGTCTGTCACCGAATAACCAAATAAGGCAAAAAGCAGCCGACTTCCTTCCTCTCAGCAACAGAATCCCTGTATCCTTGTGATTTTGGAGAGTGGCCAAGTTGGTGGAAATTTTCCGCAAGTGCTCAGCCTTTCCACCTTCTTAAAATTACTGAAGGAAATCGGCAAGCCCGACTGCCTGGTTTATGGGTTTGGCCAAAAAAGAAATTAAGCCATCAAAAACGGAGGACATCACAAGGTTGTTCGGCTTTTCTTTGGCTGAGTTATTGCTTCTTTCCGGCGAGAAGGTGTTAAGCCCTTTGGTTTATGGGCTAATCAGTCTGATTATACGGTTTGAATTACACGCAGATTCAAGGTCGATCTGCCACCAAGGTCTTTGCAAACAATGAAGCAAAAATGTTATTGTAATGGGAACGAAGCCCCAAAACGAAGCTCACATTACCATAACAACAGAGACTTTGCCCAGGTGCGAATAAGTATATATATTAACATATATACAGGTGAGGGGTACCTACTTGTACATTTTACATTTTAATGCTGCACGTACAGTGACATTTGAAGGGTTCCTTCCACCCATAAACATAAATTTAGCTAATCCCAACGAGACAGACAGAAGTTTATAAAAAAAACACATAAAAACTGGTGGGTTATCTCACCTCAGAGTGGCTTATTTTCCCATTTCAAGAGAAACATTTTCTAACGCAATTTAAAATTGCTCTATACCAGATTAAAGACAGAAGAATAAATCCAGATCAAAGCGAATTATAGTAATGGTTCACCATTTATCTAAGACTCTTTCCCAACCAAAGAAGCAATTCACAAACATTGCCCAACTCACCTGATTTCGCTGGAGTGCTTTTGAGGTCTGTTCAATTTTTAGTTTTTGGGCAATACAATAATTTTCCGCCTTTCAATTGTGTTAGGATCGTTTAAGTTGTCGTTACATTGTTTGAACTTCTTTTGTTGGTGGTCTGAAAAGAAGAACGAAAACATATTGGGTAAATGGTATATATGAGGGTGTTGTGATGCAATCGAAATGTGTGAGTTCCAAGGTTGGATCAGCTGGTCTCGAGGGACACATGTGTGGGGCATGTGTATCCCCAAGAAATGTAAGCTATTTATGAACTCATCAAGTTCATGTTCATCAAAAAAACACAATTATCTATGGCCACATGTCTATTGGAACTTATACAAAAACCATGTACGAAGTTAAAATGTCATTAATAATTGTCAATTCTAAAAGGTTAGTTAGCAATATGTTTTGGTTAACCTAACAAAGGATCTTTATAAATGTCATATGACATATTAGGTATATAGCACTTATATTAAGTACAATAAAATGTACTATTTATTTTAACGACGTGCCCAATTAAATATATTTGAACCACATGCAATGACGTATGTTACTTGACATGCAAGCTGATCTTTAAAATAGATTGTAAAATATATATTACATTGTTATTTTCTCTCTGTGCATTCGAAAAATCTCCTGCATTAGAATCAATCAACACTTTGGGCGGTCAATGACCCAAAAAGGGAACATGAACTCGGGCACAATCTGCCATCCGCAGACGACTCCTGAATTTCCCAGCCCCATTGGTCGGTGATAACGGCGAAAGTCGTCCGTAAATCTTGATTATCCCCGGGCCCTACAAATACTACAATGGCTCAGAACTAAAGACCCGAACAGGCGCATTACGTAAGGCTTGAATACCAAAAACAGACTTCATTTTGTCACGTTCCTGCCAAGCCCGTGGCCAAAGGAATTTGCACATTGGGCTAGGCCCTCCCTGGGAGCTCCCTTCGCCCCCTTTCGCCCACCTTAACCCCTTTGAATTTGCATATCCATATCGCATATCATGCGGTGTATTGAAAGCCGGTGCCCCATTATAAGTATATGAGGCCATCGCAGCCGCCTCCTTTGGGCCCCCCAACTGCGATGTGTGCGTGTTCTCAGCTGATTTGCATAGAAATGGCCGGCGAAAATGTCGATGGGCGGGAAAACTCAGGGGGCAAGAGGTCAGACCTTTATGCGAAAGTAAAACTCGCCTGCAGCAAGTCTGCAATTAAATAACATCCAAATAACTGAGTTAGCGTGGCGAAAATTATATAGGAGGCTTGAGATATCCTGTGACTCACAAGAAAACATTATATTTTTTTAAAAACTTTGATACTTTAAAGTTGTATAAATCTTACTCATAAAGAAAACCATATTCGAAAAGAAAATTTAATATTGATACTTTCTTTAAAGAATCTTCGGTGACTAAATATCTTGAACAATGGTCTTATACAAAATCACACTAAATATAACTAATGCATACAACATAAAACATATCATAATAAAAGACTATAAACAAAGTAAAATTGAAATTTTTATAGTAAAAGGCAAAAACGGAACAGATTTCAGTGGAATCGTGATGCACTTAAGCATTTCCGATGCAATCTTTAACATAAAATGGTAGTGAAACTCTAGCTATATAAAGAGGGCCAGCCCTATCATCATCATCAATAGACGAAAAGGTACCTATGTATATAGCATGATCTGATTTCTACGCATTTCCACGTACGATACCATACCATTTGAGATCGAGCACTCGACCGACTGCCCACTACGTAGGGCTTTTATTAGATGAGTGTTTTATGCAAATTGTGATCATCTGAGTCTGATTTCGGATCCCGGAGTGGCCCAGTGGCTTAGAACGAGCCGTAAACTTTCACTGCCCCCACACGTGAGTAGGCCCGTGGTTATCTAATTGGATGGTTAGGGGATTTGGGGATTTGGGGCTGGCCAAGATTAATTGCAGGGGGGATCTCTTCGAGGGTCTTCGCAGATGAGCACTCACGATGGCCCGAAACAATGATGAAAAGTAAAAGTTTCTATTTGGTTTATCGAACAATGCATCGAATGATGAATCCGTGAATAAATTATTCCATCTTGTATTCTAAACTGGTTTTGGGCCACTTTTATCGCGGCCTGTTGCCATTAATTTTATTCACTTTTCCGTCTATTTCTATGAAGCCTAATTGAATTTCGATTGTGATTTTATTCGTTTTCTCTAAATAATATTGGTTTACCGGAAAAGAATACGACATAAAATCAACATACGGGTTTTTTGGAAGGTATTCAAAATTCTAGACTGTAAAATATTTAAAAAGAAGAAAAGCAAATAGGAAAAGCAAATACCATAATAAAATGTACTCACTCATCAGAGCAAATAGCATTTTGTCCGCACACCCCTAAAATAAGCAAAAATGCGAATGCGAAAGGAAAAACTTTGCACACCCATAAATGTATCCATACAATAATAAATGAACGAAAGAAATAATTGTCTGTCTTGAGATTTCGAAAGATACTAATGTTTTTGTATACTGAAAAATGTAGATGGACTACGTTATGAAAAATGAATTACCTTTAAAATTTAAATATACCACTAACTTAAAAATACTATTGGGTTGGCAAGAAAGTCATGTCGTTTTTTTTCAATATTTTCAAAGATGATTTATTTATATCAGGACTTATAATTAATCAATTATGTATTGGCCGTTTTGTTCGACCACTAATGACCATCTCTCGGGCAGCTGCATAATTCCGCGCTCGAAGAACTTTTGGTCTTTTCCAGCAAAGAATCGAGACAAGTGGTTTTCGACATCCTCATCTGAATCAAAGTTTTTACCATTCAAAGAGTTTTGAAGAGAGCGAAACAAAAGGTAATCTGAAGGTGCTAAGTCCGGACTATAAGGTGGATGTGGTAGCACTTCCCAATTCAGCTCCGTTAATTTTTGCCGAGTGACCAAAGATGTGTGGGGCCTAGCGTTGTCATGGTGAAAGACTATACCCTTGCGATTAGCTAGTGCCGGCTCCTTTTCTTTAATTTTTTCCGCCAAATTGGATAGCTGGCGACAGTACACATCTGAATTGATGGTTTCATTCCGTCCCAGCAGCTCAAAGTGCACTACACCCTTCCAATTCCACCAAACAGACAGCATAACTTTCCTCTGATGGATATCGGCCTTTGATGTGGCTTGGGCTGGCTCATCTTTCTTGCTCCATGATCTTTTTCGTTGGACATTATTGTAAACAACCCACTTTTCGTCGCCAGTAATGATCCGCTTCAAAAAAGGATCGTTTTTAATCCGTTGCAGCAGAGAATAGCAGATGTTGATACGCTTAGTTAGGTGAATTTCCTTTAAGTTATGCGGAACCCAAACATCGAGCTTGCTTACGTAGCCAAGTTTCTTCAAATGGTTTTCAACCGTTGTATGCGACACACTGAGCTTCTCTGACATCTCCCGCGTTGAATAGCGCCGGTTTTCATCCAGCAAAGCCTGAATTTGTTCGTCAAAAACGGCCGATGGTCGACCAGAACGTGGGGCGTCTTTAACTCCAAAATCTCCAAGCCTGAATTTGGCAAACCAGCGCTGACATTGGCGATCACTCATGGCATCTTTACCATACACTTCGCACAATTTTTCGCGAGCTTCGACCGCTTTTTTTTCCTTTTCGGAAGTAAAAAAGCAAAATATGCCGAAAATGCTCACTTTGGTCCTCCATGTTTAATTTGCTATAGCTTCCACAAATGTTATCGAATAATTACCAAATTTTCGTCGATAGTACCTAAGACAATAAGCTTTAAAACGATACTAAAAAGTGTGACCCTGGTGCTCGATTAGTCGTAAATAAATTAGATTAAAAACGATTACTAAAAAAAACGACATGACTTTCTTGCCCACCCAATACTACAAATATTAGTTATTTCAAATTTAAATGATTCATAATTAAATTGAATTGAATGAATATTTCTATATATATAAAATATTTGAAAACCCTTAGCAATTTTCTCCTATTTTCTAAAATTATTACTTTTCCGTGGCTTAATAACAGACCTATATTATTGAAAATTAATTCGCTTGATAATTTTCATTTATCAATATGAATTATTGTAAATTTAAATCATATACATAACTATGAAAAATATATATATTGTAAACTGAGAGAATAATTAACACTCTGTATTAATAAGATATAAGAAACCTATAAAAAATACTCACTTAAATTCTATAAAATACAAGCAATTTCCGTAATAAACATTTCAAGAAGAGCAATGTAAATTCGATTTTCCCGAGAAAAGCGTCGCGTCTTTTCCCAATTGGACTCCTCGTTCCGGGATGTTATGGCTCACTTTCTCGCTCACTTTTTCCCGCTTGGCAATCACCGCCAAATAGGTCAGTTCAGATGGGGGTTACTGAACTCTCTCGCCCGCCGGCCAAAAGTATTTATGGAAAATTTGTCACATAACTCTGTGGGCCAAGAAATGACGCCAGCGATTGCGAATTTAGCGAAGACAGAATTTGCCTAAAGTCTGGGGTAATGCAACACTTCAATGCCATATAGCTCGTAAGTGGAATAGTAATAAAAGTAAAACCGAAAACCCGAACAAGAAACTGCAAACTGGAAAACCACAACCACATCAAGCCAGAGGCGAATTGCTTTAAAAAAATAGCGTATGTAGATAAAAGTCATTTCAGAGAGACAATAAAAGCCAACTCAACAATAGCACATCAACTTGATGGTAACAACCCAAACTTATATTTCGATTACTTAACCAACTTTTGGACTACACAGAATTGAAATTCTGAAAGAACAAACGAACTACTGGGTTTTTCCTCATGTGCTCTGAAGAACTTTCAAGTTTTTTATAGAAAATTGAAGTCATCATCGATGTGGCATATAAATTTACATTTTCTACTCGTCCACTACTTTATTTCTGTTGTTTTCAGACTCTTTCCATCGCTTGGTTGGGTTTTCGATCCCCTTCTTTCACAACAAATCCAAAACGAACCGATCCCAACCGAAGAGAACTTGCCACTTCAGCGGGGGTCCGGCACAAATACTTGAAGAGTTGTGTTGTTCAATAAAGCAGCTTTGCCACTCCAATCATACCCCTTGGGTATTTCTCCCATTTTTCCCCCT